ATGCTCCAGATGTAGTTGTTCACTTGATATGTAGGAAGTACAGAACATATGAATGAATATATCTGTAGCGTATCATCCCTTGTGATAGGTTCATCATGTCATGGAACTTGTGGGGTAAGTAATTCCTCAGGACTTTTCGGGGTGCAAAGTAGTGGTGTAACGATTCATGATGTTTGCATCAACTACGCGATACGAGTGAATCGATACAAAACACATTTAGGCAATATATCAGGATATTTATATCACAAGGGTCCATGATACATCGTTGTATCGCCACTAGAGACGATATATCCTGATACTACTTAATACTACTTAAAGTTGTAAGGAATATGGCTTTAGGATTAGGAAGGGAGTCTCTTTGAAATATTTCTAAGTTTTAAAAACAAATTGAACCTTATAGGAATTTGTGTCTGTTATCTTTGTCACGTGAACAAAGGAGTTGGTGTATCAGTGAAAGAATGTGAACATTTTTCAATCTCTGTGAACTGTAAAAGACTTGTCTTTAAGTAATTGAAACATGTTTTAGTTGTTTGACATATAACACCATTTATTAACAACTATGAATGATGTCTTAGCTTTGTTAAGAAAGAGAAGATAAAATTTAGAAAGCATACTTAAGAGGTTTTTTCAGTGATTCTGGTATAAATTACACTGAATTGTCCGTGAAAGCATTGGTGCAGAAACACAACTTTCCAAGGGAAACCTAGATCAAGTTATACAGAATAGGTTTAATTATACTTTCTTAAGCATCAAATGCTGAAACTTTAACATGAACAGCCTTTTAAGTGTGTGTGAATGAAACACATGTTCTGCTGTATAACAAATAAAGAATCAGTCATTTTATCTATCATATTTGTTCTGTTTTTAGAATTGTAAAGTATCGGGATACGTATTGTACCGCCATCATTGTATCGTGATAATAATCGGCAGGTTCCTTGCCAATACTTTCATGATATATCGTCTCGCCTCATTAAACTGGTATCAGGATATATCGTCTTGCCACTTAGGCACCGATACACAGCTCTAGTGCAAAGCTGCTAGGATATTTTCAACAAGTAATTACTTGTCAAGTGTGCTGAAAATAATCCAAAGTGATGGATGAAACATGCCCTTAAGGGACAAGTGGTCCACGTATGTACAACATGTCCTATGTGTTCCGCATTAAAGATCATAATTTGTCAGACAGCACATATTTCTGTTCAGTTCAAGTGTTAAATAGCCTGTAGCCTGTGTTTGGATTCTTGGGCAAAATAATTTTAAGGAACTTTATGGTTGTAGGAGTTGAATGTTGACTGTAGGAGTTGAATGTTGACTGGAGGAGTTGAATATTTGTTGGAGGAGCAGAATGGTTGTTGCAGGAACACAATGGTTGTGCAGGGAATTGAATGGTTGTTGAGTGATTGAATAGTTGTTGCAGGAACAGAATGGTGGTTGTTGCAGGAACAGAATGGTTGTTGTCGCAGGAACAGAATGGTTGTTCAAGGAACAGAATGGTGGTTGTTGCAGGAACAGAATGGTTGTTGATGGAACAGAATGGTTGTTGTTGCAGGAACAGAATGGTTGTAGGAACAGAATGGTTGTTGCAGGAACAGAATGGTTGTTGCAGGAACAGAATGGTTGTTGTTGCAGGAACAGAATGGTTGTTGCAGGAACAGAAATTGTTGTTGCAGGAACAGAATGGTTGTTGTTGCAGGAACAGAATGGTTGTTGCAGGAACAGAATGGTTGTTGTTGCAGGAACAGAATGGTGGTTGTTGCATGCAGGAACAGAATGGTTGTTGATGGAACAGAATGTTGTTGCAGGAACAGAATGGTTGTTGCAGGAACAGAATGGTTGTTGTTGCAGGAACAGAATGGGTTGTTGCAGGAACAGAATGGTTGAACAGTTGCAGGAACAGAATGGTTGTTGTTGCAGGAACAGAATGGTTGTTGTTGCAGGAACAGAATGAACAGTTGTTGTTGCAGGAACAGAATGGTTGTTATTTGCAGGAACAGAATGGTTGTTTGCAGGAACAGAATGGTTGTTGTTGCAGGAACAGAATGGTTGTTGTTGCAGGAACAGAATGGTTTGTTGTTGCAGGAACAGAATGGTTGTTGCAGGAACAGAATGGTTGTTGTTGCAGGAGGAACAGAATGGTTGTTGTTGCAGGAACAGAATGGTTGTTGTTGCAGGAACAGAATGGTTGTTGTTGCAGGAACAGAATGGTTGTTGTTCTTGCAGGAGCAGAGAATGGTTGTTGTTGCAGGAACAGAATGGTTGTTGTTGTTGCAGGAACAGAATGGTTGTTGCAGGAACAGAATGGTTGTGTTGCAGGAACAGAAGGTTGCAGAACAGAATGGTTGTTGTTGCAGGAACAGAATGGTTGTTGTTGCAGGAACAGAATGGTTGTTTTGCAGGAACAGAATGGTTGTTGCAGGAACAGAATGGTTGTTGTTGCAGGAACAGAATGGTGGTTGTTGCAGGAACAGAATGGTTGTTGCAGGAACAGAATGGTTGTTGTTGCAGGAACAGAATGGTTGTTGTTGCAGGAACAGAATGGTTGTTGTTGGTTGTTTGCAGGAACAGAATGGTTGTTGTTGCAGGAACAGAATGGTTGTTGTTGCAGGAACAGAATGGTTGTTGCAGGAACAGAATGGTTGTTGCAGGAACAGAATGGTTGTTGCAGGAACAGAATGGTTGTTGTTGGAACAGAATGGTTGTTGTTGCAGGAACAGAATGGTTGTTGTTGCAGGAACAGAATGGTTGTTGTTGCAGGAACAGAATGGTTGTTGCAGGAACAGAATGGTTGTTGTTGCAGGAACAGAATGGTTGTTGTTGCAGGAACAGAATGGTTGTTGCAGGAACAGAATGGTTGTTGCAGGAACAGAATGGTTGTTGCAGGAACAGAATGGTTGTTGTTGCAGGAACAGAATGGTTGCAGGAACAGAATGGTTGTTGTTGCAGGAACAGAATGGTTGTTGTTGCAGGAACAGAATGGTTGTTGTTGCAGGAACAGAAATGTTGTTGTTGCAGGAACAGAATGGTTGTAGGAACTTGCAGGAACAGAATGGTTGTTTGTTGTTGCAGGAACAGAATGGTTGTTTTTGCGGGAACAGAATGGTTGTTGTTGCAGGAACAGAATGGTTGTTGTTGCAGGAACAGAATGGTTGTTGTTGCAGGAACAGAATGGTTGTTGTTGCAGGAACAGAATGGTTGTTGTTGCAGGAACAGAATGGTTGTTGTTGCAGGAACAGAATGGTTGTTGTTGCAGGAACAGAATGGTTGTTGATGGAACAGAATGGTTGTTGTTGCAGGAACAGAATGGTTGTTGATGGAACAGATGGTGGTTGTTGCAGGAACAGAATGGTTGTTGTTGGGGAAACTGCCTTGATATTATGGGGAGTTGATAATATGAGCAATATGAAGATACAATGCTTGAATGTCATGATGATACCATGCACTAAGAAAGACTATCTCTCCAGTGTGAACTTACAGAATCAGTTAATGCTCGTATTAGTTGACAACCACCGTGTTAGAACCGTATGACATATTTCTGCCATGATCAAGCTGTGGTACTACAAACTACAAGAACGATCAACATTTGTCCGCTCATTCCTAATTCATGATCCTGAGCCTATTATCTTCATAAATAAGTGGATGAATTGGTGTATGTAACAGTGCACACTTACACTAACAAAGTCACGTACATGTATGCTATAAGTTGTAATGTCAACATGCAAACACATAGCGATACACCCACATCCCATCTGTTAATTGTTTTAGGTGACTCAGTATGAGAATGTTAATGAACTACCCCATGTGAGTCACCTTCTGTAAGTGGACGAGTGTACCCCGAGAGCCAGGGCACAGCTAGTGGGCATCAGTAACACTGTGACCACACAATGTGTGTTGTACTCACCATTTACACTGATGAACAAATGTAGTCTTGACCTGGTAGATCTTGTACCAACTTACTGATGGGCAGACATGTGTTGGCAGTAACAACCTTCCCTCTGTGAAGCAGTGCTTTGTACATGAGTTATGTACTTGCATGCTCAACAGTCCTTATTTACACTTGAAAGCACCATTAAACATTTCACAGGAAGTGACCTTCATTACAATCAGTCACCCTGTGAATGATATTACTTGTAAATAGGAAAGTCACTGTTGAATATGTATGTGCCGACACTGGCACTTTGTTATTGTGAATGTTATTTTGGAGATAGAAAGCCTCCATTGTCTGGATGACGGATGTTTCAGGTAATAAAACTATTGCTGCATATGTGTTGTAAGCAGCAGATTTGACAACAGCAGGTAGTGGCCAGATACTGTGGGCACAGATCTCACCACCAAGACAGCTCGTGTCATGTCCTAGTGATACATATGTACCACTACACTAATGATATCAGTGTTATGCTACATGGTACAGATACAGGTTTGTCAGAAACTGTGTACACGCTGTCGAATATGAATATTTTGAAAGCACTTCAAGTCAGAACTGACGCTGTCGTGTGACAAGGTCAGTGTGCAACTGCTCTTGAGGAGTATGCAGATTGTGAACGCTTGTTGTGAAAAGAACGTGGGCTTGTGTTGTTTTCTGTCTTGTAAGTTGCAACATGTTGGAGGAATAGAGGAAAAATTATCATTGCTTGGATCCTGTGATAGATTGCATAGTGACATGTCAAACCAAGTTCCAAAGGTCTTTAATTGGTTCCTGTTAACTACCCTTTGGGAAGTTTTGTTATTGTTTGAAGTGAATGTGTCCAGAATATGCTGAATGACAAGTTTTCATAGTTCTACAGTACAGTACAGTTGAAGTTGAACACTAATCAGTATCACATAAGTATGCAAAACAATGAAAGTTTCTTCATTGGCAGTTTAGAAGTTGGGAAGTGCAATAATGACATATTATGATATATATGGGTAGCAACTTCTTTCATTGAGTTGTTATCTGTAAATTCGTCATCAATAAAAATTTGTTGATATCATTGCTCTAGCTAAAAGTGATATTTGTTTTGCAGATATTTGACACAGCCTGCTGACTTCACCCCGGAGAAGTCCCCCCAAAGTCGGCGCAAGTTCAAGTATGAGGGTCGTCACCTAACACAGCCCATCACGCCAGAGGAGATGAAGGAGGCCAAGGCAGCAGCCACACCTAGCCCAGTCAAGCCCGGGGGCTCCATCGGGGACAGGTCAGTCAACATTTCTCACCAAGTCTCTCAGTTGCTTTATTTGTTCATGAAATGTGTAAAACTCCATTTCTAAGTGACGCTGAAGGGGTCGTTGTTGGCACAGGTACCACAGATGTGTATCTCAGGTACTTTTCTGTATACAGAAGTGTACCCTAGCCAAAATCAGAATACAGAAACGTACCCTAGGACGATTCCATTCCGCACTGTCATTTTCGTGACTGGAACTGTCACACTGTTGTATTAGATGCACTTGATTGCATTATGTAAGAAATGACCATACACAGTAACAAATATTTCGTGGTGCACAATACCACCTGCAATCAGTTGACTGGGAACAACTACATACGGTTTCAGTTTTGGGTTGCGGAATATAGACTGGAGCACCTTGTAGGCACCGGGTGTGTTTCTGTATTTTGACTTGGGGTACATATCTGTAGTATCTGTGCCGACAATGCCCCCTTTAGCGTGACAAAAATTGTATCTTACAAACATTTGAGATATTATGTATTTGTTTATGACAAATATCACACTCAATTATATAGATGATTAAAAATGTTCATGCAGTTCCTTGTGTTTTGAAATGTCAACTATCAATGAATATTCAAATAAATGCTATGTGAAAAAGACTCTCTTCAAGACAGTGTTTGTCCAAATAAACTTCAAATATGTATATGTCTTCAACAAAGTCAAGACATACCACTAGTTTTCAGTTATGGCAGTATGTTTCATCTCCTTTATTAATTGACGTCCCTTGATTTGATACAGGCATCTGCTTTGTTAAGATATATGTGTCACAGATAGTTTTCAAGGCTAGTACCATGCTCTGTGCTGCAGGTTGAATTCTCTCAAGAAGAGTGGAGAAGAAGACTGGAAACGTCGGGTTCCCAAAACCCTGGACCTTGACACTCCGGTCAAACTTAGAGACAAGACCAACCTAGCTGCTGTAGAACGCCCTTCAAGCCTTGCTGACCGACTCAGAAATTTGGATGAGTCCAAAGGAGGATGGAAGGAGAGGGTGGAAGAGAAAGATCAGGAGCAGTTCACTGTGAAAGGAAGGCTTGGCAGAGGTAGGTAGAGGCTTGGCAGGGTCAGGTGAAGGGGAAGGTAGGTAGACTCGAGGCAAGTGCCTGGTAGGTGAGGCAAGGAAAGAGATTGAGGAGGGAAGGCCTGGTAGGAGTAGGTACAGAGACAGGGCAGGGTAGTCACATACTTCTCAGGAGTAGGTACAGAGAAAGGTCAGGGTAGTTGCGGACTTGGCAGCTTGGTGGGGATAGGTACAGGGTAAGAGAAGATAGTTGCAGCTTTGGCAAGGGGAGGTACAGGAGAAAGAAGGTAGAATAAGGGCAAGTGAGGAGTAAGGCTAGGGAAGAAGAGGCAGGATAGGCATGGGATCGATATGTTGGTGAGATGTTTCCTCAGTCTTAAGGACTATTACATGCACAGCTTTATAGATTTACTTTATAAGACATTTCTCTACATTTCAGGAGGAAGCAAGGAGAGCCCCCTGGTGTCAAGACTGAAACAAACCCCAAGGAAAGGTGAAGGTGAGACTTCTGATGTATAAATATGCAGTCAGTGTCCAGTCAACCATGACAGTGTATGTACAGTGATATATGATGTTTCTTAACCTTCAGATCCCCCATCAAATGGAGCATCCCCAGTGACATCACCAACATCACCTTCCAAGGAGTTTGCAGTAGTCACAAAGAAAATATCACTACCCAAAGAAATCATTTCTGGTGAGTGAGAGCTCCAGGGGACTTGTTTTTGGGTGATATTGTAAGGTTCACTAGTACACCTTACTAGAGTATTGTTCTCAGCATTAGAATGTGGCAGTATGCAGACAGTTATACCATTTTCTGATGCTTTTGTATGACTGAAATACACAAGAGGTGAATATATATGTTAGTAAATATATTAACACAACATTTTGACAAGATGTAGACTTGCCCAGCTTTCATATTTTCTACATTTGTAACTGTGTTCCTGTGTTTCGGCAGGTCCCGCCCCAGTGAAGACAGAGCGCGAAAAGCAAATGGAAGAGGTGGAGAAGCAGGAGCCGGTGAGAGTGGCTGTACCACAGATGGACACAGAAGCGATTGACTCCTTCTTCCAGACCAGGGACATTTCACAGATCAAGGACACAGTCAAAGTTGACATTGACGACTTTAATGAGATATTCATGAGGGCAAATGAAATGTGAGTTTCCAGCAGCAGGACCATTTTAGGGATGTTAGTTCTATATAACATATAAGCTTTATTCATGAAAAAGTTGAAAAATCAAATTTATAGTATCTCAATGTTTGTTAATGGAAATCCTCTTTTCTGTCAGATTTATTTGTTTCAAGAACTGAGAGATCAGTTGGATTAGTACAAATTCTTTCATTCCAGGCTTCCTGCTGTGAAGAAAGCTCGCCCAGCCCGTAGTAAGTCCACCCGCAGTCGGAACCACCTGAAAACAAGGTCACTGCACTTGGAGCTGAAGGACGAGTACCTCGAGATCACCCATGGCATAGCAGAGAAGGAGTTCAAGAGGCTGAAGAAGGAAACAAGTAAGGATGACAAAGGCAACATGAACATGTTATGAAGGCAACAAGTTGTGAAACAAGTGTATTTATTATGTGGAAGGTGCTTGACAACACAGGCTATGAATATTTTATTTTGTGTTCTTGCAGTCTCCAAGGAGGCAGGGTTTGCTCAAGAGGCCTTGGCAGGTCTGGCCAGCAAGGAGAACTTCTCCAAGGTGGCACTGAGGAAGGCAGAGACCTCCACTCCAGGGGGCACAGGCTCCTTCCAGCCCTACAAACCCGTCATGCTGCTTCATGTCAAAGGTGGGTTCACATCTTAAAGCACAACACTTACTGCGTGGAGCAGCAACTAACATTACTCCTCCTGAGATCTGTATGGTGCTGCAGGTATTTAAGTTCTCTGATGACTCCAAGCAAGGAGATGTGCAAAGACGTCCACATGGTATATGTTGTTGACACCAAAAAATCTCTCCAACAGGGCGTTACAAGATCCAGACTCGCCTGGTTGAGCCGTCAGCAGCGTCCGTCAACAGCGGTGATTGCTACCTCTTGGTGACTCGTGACAAGATCATAAACTGGATTGGGGAGTACTGCAATGTCATCGAGAAAGCTCGGGTAAGAGAAGTGGAGACAACTCATGGACCATATTGTCCCCTACATGAACTACCCTAACATTAGTTATATGAGACCACATAATGGATCAGGTGGTGAGAGGTGACTTAATGGTTCAGAATGTAGGGGCTGCTGTTAAAACATGCTAGGATAATGCTATGTGCATCATTACCAAGAAATCTGCAGATTATTAAGCAAGTGCAGAGGTGTGGCAGGGTTGTGTGTTTCTTTAAAATGTGACTATATTTTGTTTTTTGAAAGGATTGATGAATGTGTTTGATGTTACATGCCTCTGTATTTGTGTCACTTTAATGTTGTGTATATCCTGTGATGTATATTTTGTGTTGCAGTCTGCAGACATTGCTGGGTTTATCCAGCAGAAGAAAGACCTTGGTTGCAAGGCAGCAGCTCTGTCCATCTTGGAGGAACATAAGGGCCACCTTGGTGCCGGCAGACACTTCTGGAATGCCATTGATGGATACAAGGAGTACCAAGGTACGAGAAGGCCAATAGGATGCCACTCAGAGTTCTTGTTGCCCTAGAATGTTAAAAAGCAAAAAATGTCTTAAACACAATGTCCGAAAAGTAAAGTTTTCTAGTGAATGTGTAAATGTGAATCTTAATGTCATTGCATGTCAGAAATAGTCTTTAATGTCAAAATAAAGGTTTTTTTCGCAATTCATTGTTCTCGTTTGGAGACAAACAGTTTACCTTGTAAGTATAAGAGTAACAACACCTTTCCATCCAGAATGTTATGTGTCTATTTTCACCTGTTCTGTGCTGTCCTCCCTTCAGGCTGTGGCCCCGAGGATGAAGATGAGCTGTATGAGAACCACATCATCAAGACCAACATGGTGTACCGGGTCGTTGACAACTCACTCTTACCCTACGAGGAGTACTGGGGCATGCAGCCCAAACATGAGATGCTCAAGAAAGATGAGGTACTGGCTACACACTTCAGTAACCCATGCTTGTAGTAACAGTAAGATCTGATATCATGACTAGCTGACTAGCTCACGAGGTTGATGCTTCTCATCATATCCCAGGTTTCTAGATCTATGCTCATGAGGTCAATCACTGCTTGATCTCACCCACTGTCATATAACAAGAATATTGCTAATTGTGACATTAAACAACAAACAAAACCTAAACAATCTACATCTTTGTTTTCACCTGACTGATAGATCTCAAGAAACACAAACATCAATTTTTTGCTGAGCCTCATGTAAATGTATAGGATTGTTCACTGGTATGAAACCCATGAAGGTCCGGGTTAGAATATCGATCTTCAGTAACCCATGCTTGTCGTAAGAGGCGACTAATGGGATCAGGTGGTCAGGCTCGCTGACTTGGTTGACTCATGTCATCGGTTCCCAATTGCGCAGATTGATGCTCATGTTGTTGATCACTGGATTGTCTGGTCCAGACTCGATTATTTACAGACCGCCGCCATATTGGTGGAATGTTGCTGAGTGTGGCGTAAAACTCCACTCACTCACTGCTATGATGTCATGAGTAGAGGGGAAACAGTGTTATCCTTGTGTGTTCTCACCCACCAGCCACCCGAACACTGAATACAGCAACATATTTGTAGTTATTATTCAGTTATTGTGCTGGAAGGTTTGCTATGCTGCTGCTAGACTATAAGCTTGTGTGTTGTGTGTGCAGGTGCTGGTGTTTGACTTCGGGCAGTGAGATGTATGTGTGGCAGGGGAAGACAGTGACCATGGAGAAACGCAAGCAGGGCATTAAGCTGGCCCAGAAGCTGTGGGAGAAGGGTTACGACTACGAGGAGTGTGCCATCAACCCACTCTGTCCTCTACATGGTAATAACCTTGTGCTTCCCATCTTATGTAGAGAAGAGGGGTTGGGGATTTTATTGTGCTTCAATCTGCAAATCGCGTCAGTGGTCCATGATTCTACCGGTATATCAGGACAGATGTTTTGGGTGTGTGGGGGAATGAGCATTTAGGGTTTATAGGATTAGGCAAATAAGACTTTCTCAAATATTGCTGACTTAATTTATACAGAATCAACAAATGATTTGTGTTTTTGTGGAGCACTAAGAGATGCAGTTAACACTAATTGCACACTGATATTATGTAGGATATAGTACAGGACAATATGCAGGTTGTGTCATGTGTAGTTTATCTGTTATTTCCCAACAGATGATGACTCAGCAATACCTAAAACGAGCACTGACCGACCTTCATGGGCTTTGTTCGGAAAAGTCAACCAGAATATGGAGACCATCTTGTTTCGTGAAAAGTTTGCTGATTGGCCAGACTCATCTAGACTGATCAAGGTCAAGGATACACAGTCAACGAAAGAGAAGGTAAATCTCAAGGCTGAAGATCGTCCAGCAGAGAGACAGTGAAGGAAATTGATAGATGATGCTATCACATTTCAAACAAGTGATTGATATGAGAGTTAAATATTTATGCATCTAGTCAGATTTGTCAGGGTATTCTTTGCTAGTGATTAAGCCTTATTGGAAGGAAAGCAAGTCTAACTCTTACAGTTTCTATTTCAGATGGATGTTGTGGAACTGCAGCCATATGATGCTAAGCTAATGCTGGCTGAAAAGAAGAATCCTGTCACACTACTTTTGGAAGGCTCTCATGTTGGCAGGGGTACAAAGTGGTATGTTCACTGCATACATCTTGTTATGAAGTTGCAGTCGCCATCAATTTTCTTAACTACCTTCTCAGAGTATATTTGAGATTAATATGATCATATTTCCTTTAAGTGGGGTTCCTTTCACGGAGCAACCTTTATGAAGGTTAACCTTAACTCCCATTCTTTAACATTGCACCAAGGTTACCTTAGTGACTTACGATCACCTTAGTGCTTTGTGAAAGGAGGCATTGATGCATGTCAGGCTACTATATCTGCTGCATGTTGCCAGGTTTGAGGACATGGAAGGCTTCATCCGGGAGGTGGACATCCTGACTTTGGGAATCTCTGTATGGCATGTGCTGGAGTATGACCACTTCAAGATGCCTGAGACAAGCTATGGCCAGTTCCATGATGGCGACACCTACGTGGTCCGGTGGCAGTACATGATTGCCAATGCTGGTAGGTTCAGTAGGCTTCTGGAGGTCTCAGAGTCAGCCACAGGCTGGTAATGTGCTCATAAATAAGATGGCAGATGTAGAGGATCTGGAGATCAAGGCTTTATATGTTAAAACAGCTTGCATGATCGCAGATTATTGCACATCTTTGAAGGTTTGAGCATACTTCTGGCTGAAATGTAGAAAACTGCAGATTCTAGTTCTTATGGAAGAAGAAAGTCCATATGGTTTAGACACTGCTTTGGTTAGGGAACACCAATGTGTGATAAACATATATAAGCCTCATAGGGGAACAAATCCACTGTTCCTTTCAAGAGAGACATGTGTGCTGTCATGTATAACCTCTGTTGTCTGTGAGCAGGCATGCGGACACTGAAAGGTCATGCTGCCAGGCACTCACTGACCGGCCGGGAGAGATGTGCCTATTTCTTCTGGCAGGGTAAGGGCTCAACAATCAATGAACAAGGGGCATCAGCACTCATGACAGTGGAGCTGGATGAGGAGAGAGGGCCACAGGTACGTTGTGTGACAGGGATTGTGTGATAAGTGGAAGTGGGAGAGTGTGGAATAGGAGCAGTTGGAATATGCTGAATTTGAAATGAGAGAAGTTTGAGATTGTGGTGGGGTAAATTTGGAGTGTGGAATAATGACAGTAGAGATGAGAACAAATTATATACCTTTATTTAATGTTGATTGTGAATTATATAAATTGATATATCAAATTCTGTTTTAATATATGAGATTAGGATGAAAAAACAGGATGGAATCCTTTCTTTATGTTATGGCAAATTTTATTGTTTATTATTGTCCAGCATCCGTAAGTATTTTAATGTTTGTTTTTCAGGTTCGTGTTGAACAAGGCAAGGAGTTACCATGTTTCTTGAACTTGTTTGAGGGTCGAATGGTGGTTCACATAGGGAAGCGGGAGGACGCTAGCACTAACACACAGGGGTCCTGGAGGTTCTACTGTGTGCGGGGAGAGTACACCAATGAAATGTGTCTTGTGGAGATACCTTTGTGTACAGACAATCTCAGAAGCCGTTCATCTTTCATTTTACTCAGTGTAAAAAACTGGCCTTGTGTACATATGGCATGGTGCTAAGTCTCCACAGCATACACGGGAGGTAGCAGTCAAAGCTGTCAACAATCTCAAGGAAAAGTGAGTTTTCAGTTGAAAGTCTGGATCATTTTTTGATAGTTGTTTGTTATGTTGTGTTGTGTAATAGTAAGGAGTGAAGTCATTTACTATGGAGGTAGTACACTGAATGTAAATTCTAATGACAACAAATATGGTACATTTGTAAAATTATGTTGATAAGGAAGTTGTACCACATTCCACTGAAGGATGCTCACTGCACTGGATATGAACTATTTGTCCTATCAATGGATGAATCTGAATTCAGTTACATTCCCAGTTCCTTTAGGATATCATCAAGGAATGATAACTTTAGAGTACACAGTTGGCATACAGTGAGCAAATGGACTTTGAAATAACAGTTATTTGTTATTTGCTAGAACTATGAGATAACTTTATTGGATAGTAATTCATTAAGCATTTTTGAATGGGTATATTTCAAGAATGTTCCAGACTAGTGACAAATGATGTATCGAATTCTTATTTTCATTAGGGTCAGACTGGTATCACCGACTGTCATTAATGTGTTGTCCTGACTATGTCAATGTCCCTGTTAATGAGAAAGTGTTTTCAGATGTCCCCTGGAAGTGAACATGGACAGTCGGGCCAGCCTGCTGGTCACTGAGGTCGAGGAGGGGTCAGAAAAGTCTGACTTCTGGGGCCCTCTTGGTGGTCGGCCCAAGGGCAGCTACATCTCATTGCTAAAGGGTAGGTGATGTACACAGTATGTACAGATGGATATTAAGGGTGTTACACAATGAGCCTTGCAGGTCTGAAGGATACATGCTCACGTAACTCAGTATTCTGAAGAGGTGTCTCTTTTACATAGTTGTTACTCTAAAATCACTTCGTGTTTAGTTTGGATGTCCATGTAATCTTATTACTGCCTGTTTGCATCACAGATCCAGGGATGTACCAGCACACAGTGCGCCTGTTCTACATGTGTAGTGTGTCCGGTGTGTTCAAGGTGTCGGAGGTCCTCTATGAGGCGCGCTCCAATGATCTCATCTCGTCATTCCCATTCCTACAGGCTGATCTCTACAATGAGTCTGTCTCCCAACCAGGTAGGAACTGTGTGTGTCTACATACCACTGTTGGACACCAGTTGGACACACTTTTAGTTTTCTGTTTGAATTCTTGAATTTCTGTCTAACATAGTCTCCCTGCTTACACTCAGCAATTTCATAAGACCAATCACATTTTCCCAAGTAGATCACAGTTGGTGTGTGTGTTTGTGATGGTTATACTCTAGCTGGTGGGTGTATATTTTAGTGATGGTTATACTCCAGCTGGTGGGTGTATATTTTAGTGATGGTTATACTCCAGCTGGTGGGTGTATATTTTAGTGATAGTTATACTCCAGCTGGTGGGTGTATATTTTAGTGATGGTTATACTCCAGCTGGTGGATGTATATTTTAGAGATGGTTATACTCCAGCTGGTGGATGTATATTTTAGAGATGGTTATACTCCAGCTGGTGGGTGTATATTTTAGAGATGGTTATACTCCAGCTGGTGGGTGTATATTTTAGTGATGGTTATACTCTAGCTGGTGGGTGTATATTTTAGAGATGGTTATGCTGTAGCTGGTGGGTGTATATTTTGGGGTGGTTATGCTCTAGCTGGTGGGTGTATATTTTAGAGATGGTTATGCTCTAGCTGGTGGGTGTATATTTTAGTGATGGTTATGCTCTAGCTGGTGGGTGTATATTTTAGTGATGGTTATACTCTAGCTGGTGGGTGTATATTTTAGTGATGGTTATACTCTAGCTGGTGGGTGTATATTTTAGAGATGGTTATACTCCAGCTGGTGGGTGTATATTTTAGTGATGGTTATGCTCTAGCTGGTGGGTGTATATTTTAGTGATGGTTATACTCTAGCTGGTGGGTGTATATTTTAGTGATGGTTATGCTGTAGCTGGTGGGTGTATATTTTAGAGATGGTTATACTCTAGCTGGTGGGTGTATATTTTAGTGATGGTTATACTCTAGCTGGTGGGTGTATATTTTAGAGATGGTTATGCTGTAGCTGGTGGGTGTATATTTTAGAGATGGTTATACTCTAGCTGGTGGGTGTATATTTTAGTGATGGTTATACTCTAGCTGGTGGGTGTATATTTTAGTGATGGTTATACTCCAGCTGGTGGGTGTATATTTTAGAGATGGTTATACTCTAGCTGGTGGGTGTATATTTTAGTGATGGTTATACTCTAGCTGGTGGGTGTATATTTTAGTGATGGTTATACTCTAGCTGGTGGGTGTATATTTTAGTGATGGTTATACTCTAGCTGGTGGGTGTATATTTTAGAGATGGTTATACTCTAGCTGGTGGGTGTATATTTTAGTGATGGTTATACTCTAGCTGGTGGGTGTATATTTTAGACATGGTTATGCTGTAGCTGGTGGGTGTATATTTTAGAGATGGTTATACTCTAGCTGGTGGGTGTATATTTTAGAGATGGTTTTGTTTATGATGATTACCCCATCTGGTGAGTGTGTTCATGATGGTTATACTCTACCTGGCATGTGTGTTTCAGCGTTGTTCCTGGTTGACAATAACCATGAGGTGTACCTGTGGCAGGGATACTGGCCGGTTGGTGATGAGGAACAGGAGAATGTGGCCACCGGCTCAGCTCGCGCTCGCTTCGATACTGACCGCAGATGTGCAATGCTCACAACCATACAGTACTGTCAAGGTGAGGACATGGAAGAGAGACATATCTAACTTTTCAGTTTTGTTTTCAGAATTCATAAAAGGGGGTACTGTTTAAAATCATGTCATCATTGGTTGGAGGTGTTCAAAAGTACTTTCTTTGAACACAGGTTCACTTTGCATGTTTCAGAGAAGAACAGTAATAAGCCCCCAACAGCATACCTGGTGTGTGCAGGTGTGGAACCAATCTCTTCCCCTACTGGGAGGTGGACGGAGACAGTCAAAGAGGTTGCCAAAGATGTGAGTAGTATTTAGTGTATCGCCTTTTGTTAAATGGGATAATATGAATGTACTTTTCAAATTAACTCTATTTCAATAATGGACATGCAGACATTTTTGTACATGTGAAAACTGTCCAGCTGGCCGATGTGTGTAACTATTTGATAGTTAACTGTAATAGTGAGTAGTAATTACTGTAAGTTGGACATTAACTGTAAGGATATGGAGTAAACACATGTGTGTGTCTGTGTGCAGGACGGGAAGGAGGATCTACTGTGATCTGGTCAGCGTTGTGCTGGCTCGCTTCTCCAAGACAGAGTACTCCCTGGAGGAGCTGTTAGACCTACCTGCCAGAGGGAGTTGACCCGGTCCAAGCTCGAGTGGTATTTTGGAAGAGGACAAGTTTCAGGTGAGTCCAGCCCCCATGTACTGCTATAACAGATCATTGCTTTTGTTGGTGTCAATATGTACTGTCAAGGTGAGGACATGGAAGAGAGACATATCTAACTTTTCAGTTTTGTTTTCAGAATTCATAAAAGGGGGTACTGTTTAAAATCATGTCATCATTGGTTGGAGGTGTTCAAAAGTACTTTCTTTGAACACAGGTTCACTTTGCATGTTTCAGAGAAGAACAGTAATAAGCCCCCAACAGCATACCTGGTGTGTGCAGGTGTGGAACCACAGTCTTTCACCAATCTCTTCCCCTACTGGGAGGTGGACGAGACAGTCAAAGAGGTTGCCAAAGATGTGAGTAGTATTTAGTGTATCGCCTTTTGTTAAATGGGATAATATGAATGTACTTTTCAAATTAACTCTATTTCAATAATAGACATGCAGACATTTTTGTACATGTGAAAACTGTCCAGCGTCGATGTGTGTAACTATTTGATAGTTAACTGTAATAGTGAGTAGTAATTACTGTAAGTTGGACATTAACTGTAAGGATATGGAGTAAACACATGTGTGTCTGTGTGCAGGACGGGAAGGAGGACGGCTACTGTGATCTGGTCAGCGATGTGCTGGCTCGCTTCTCCAAGACAGAGTACTCCCTGGAGGAGCTGTTAGACCGCCCCCTGCCAGAGGGAGTTGACCCGTCCAAGCTCGAGTGGTACTTGGAAGAGGACAAGTTTCAGGTGAGTCCAGCCCCCATGTACTGCTATAACAGATCATTGCTTTTTGTTGGTGTCAATATTGTTGTCGTTATTTATCATTTTGATACTGACATTTGTGTTTTGCAGGAGATATTTGAAATGTCCAAGGAAGAGTTTTACAAACTGCCAAACTGGAAGCAGAGACAGGTGAAACAACCCACTGGTCTCTTCTAGATGCTCATCAGGCAGACATCAGCTCAAACACTGTCATGGACGTGTCCAGCTTCTCGTGACTGCAGCATCTCACTGTGTCAACTTCAACAGGCATCTCATCATGAAACTTCAAGAGCTTTTGTTTTATGATCTGTGTTTATATTGACAGTGAAACTGTGATGTATATATCCACATTTCTGACAGGATAAATGTTTCGTGAAGAGTATTTGCAGGAGTATTTACAGAGATCTGTCAATATGATCACTGGTGTCAGATTCTCTTCTGCCAAAACAATCAGCTGTCACTCAGGTGTGAACACTGTCATCAATTGCATTGTCATGATCAGGAATGACAATACATTGTGCCTGCTGCGTCAGGAGGAGGTACTTACTATGAGTTTCATATCCCATGTCACTCTCACCTGTCAATCATCCCATATCATCTGAAACAGGTGCTTGTTAAAGAAACAGTGACATGGATCTGATATACGGGGTAATACAGAACAAAGCCTTTCAATTATCTGTGATCTGCAATGATAGAATAGGATCTACATTGCTTTACAATATTGGACAGGTGCTCTAAGAGTGTCATGAGTGGAACATAGTGAACCAATAATGGAGGACTTTCAACAGCCATTTATCTGCTCTGCAACAAGTCACAGCCGTGATTGGCGAAATTGAGTTCCATTATGTCTGAGTGGTGTGGCTATGGATGACATACCCCTACACCAAAGCATGACTGACCGGCCAGAAAGCACCATGACTCAGACAACACACCACAGGGTGCTATTACAAGACTTGTGCAACTTGCTACTGATAACCACACATTTCAACAGGGATCTCATTAGTGCTGCCTTAAGACAACTGCTGCGTGTGTGTCATTGTGTTGTCCCATCTGTCACTGACCACTGTAAAACCTCAATAGAAGATGGACTTAACATGTAACACCCAGTACAAGATATACTTGCTTCACTCATGTGAAGTACAAGATGGACTTGCTTGACCACTGTAAAACCTGAATGTATACACGAGGGTTGATCTTGTCAACAGATACTGATAAAGTGTACTGAATCAGAATCTTGTTAATAATCAATAATAATCTCTGTTTTGACTGAGTAAATCTAAAGTGCTTTCAAGCTAGTAGTTAGGATTTGCAACAAAATAACATATTTTACCAAGTTAGCAGTGTAGTCATTTAGTGACAAATATTCCCAACTGATATACTGATTAAAGTTGGTATCTATTTTGTGAATGAGAAAAATGTTTGGGCGTGTTTTGAGAACATGATTCCACTTGCTCTTCCAAGTTAGTAATTGCATGTAAAGATTTAGTGCTAACTTGACCTGTGCCTAATCTTATTGTTTTTTTTTACAAAAGTTTGACAATTTTACTTAAGCTTAATATAATAGCTTAAACCAAGAAATGAAAACAAAGTATTTTTATTAAAACACCTTTTATTTTTTCAGCTTAAGATACACCCCCATAAAAAATGAATCAAACTTAATGTATACAGGTTTTTGTACTAGGTACTGAACAAGTTGGCTTGAACAATTATAGTGCATAATGTTGGTATATACGGTTCTGTATATATGAGAAACAAGTGAGGAGTGTATTGTACAGTCACACACCCTCCCCCCTACAGCCATGGTGTCCCACTACCACTTTCCTTAGTTGGTTTACAAAACCCACTGCGAAAATAATAATGCTTAGGCGAAAATAATTACGCCTGATTGTGTATGAAAGTTAGTTGTTGTCCCATATTGTGCATACACTACACCTTCCAACAGTTAACCACTGACTCAACCACTACCATTAGTTTACAAACTGTTGTCTTCACTCCAGTCAAAATTCTTTCAGCTGCAAACATATGGGAGTGGATACCAAAATGCCAGAATCTCCTAAAATCAATGTCAATCCAATCACTTTGAAAACTTTAAAACAGTCCAAGATAACTTGTTCCTCATGTTATTAGTAAGGTTATTTGGAAGCTGAATTTCTAAAAGAAACTTCCCACCTTCCTTAAAGTTCGGGCAAGGTTGTTGACCAACTTATAATAAACACAGGTTCTGCCAGCCATGGTGACACTACTGTAACAGTTGGTAGTGAGCCACACATGGAGTTGATCGTCCCGAGTCTGGCAGCATCCTTGATGTAACCACGTTTACTGTATCAGTGTTTGTGTTGTATCTGACCACTGTGATGTCACCAACATGTACATGACACTTGTCCATTTCATAATCACTCTCCATGTATATATATGTATTGTAGCCTGCTACAACCTTTCAATTGTACATAGATTAGTGTACATATACCATCAACTCAGAAGACATTAAATTCAACTTAAACATCAAACCCAGCCTTGTCGTTTTTTGAGGTCTTGTTTCAGTTTAAGTATTGATGGAATTGCAAAGTGGTGGCTTTTGGTATACCATCAGATTTCTTCCTCATTTTAGTGTTGATGAATCTGCTACGATGCAGGAAGAAAAGAATTTGTTTATCCTCACATCATACATTACAAAGAATCATATTGGAGGGTCCAGTTGTCCGAGATGCTGCAGGGCGGTGGGGTAGCCTAGTGGTTAAAGCGTTCGCTTGTCACGACGTAGACCCAGGTAAGATTCCCCACATAGGTACAATGTGCAAAGCCCATTTCTGGTGCCCCCAGCCGTGATATTGCTGGAAAATTGTTAAAAGCGGAGTAAAACTGGACTCCCTCACTCACTGAGATGCTGCAATTTGCTGTAAAGTTTCATTCCTTAGATGTGTCAGACCTATGATCATGAGTTTAACACCTGTGTTAAAGCTGATTGTGTTTGTTGATTTGTCAGCACCATACCTGTGCTCATGTGCTTTATGAAAGTGGTTAATGTCCAACACCGTCACCTTCAACATCAAAGTGGCAGCAAATTGCACTGATGAAAATATGGGTAAGATTACAGAATACCGGATACCTTCCGCCATCTTTGATAGCAGGCGAGTTTACTTTTGGTTAGGGTTTAGGATTAGGGGTAAGGTTTAGCGTTAGGGTTAGAGTGACTTGACACTGAACGATATGGCTGGTAGGTATCCGGTATTCTCTAGGTGTACCAAAATATGTTTTTCTTGATGTTAAAAGCTTATACATTTTCACCTCAGTTTGAATAAGTCATGGAGTTGAGAAAGCTGATAAACCACTCTTCCTGGAGTGAGAAACAACTTCCCCTGCACTACATAATTGGCTTCTGATAGCTTCAGACAGTACCGTTCATGGAGGAGAACGTTAACGATCCTTCTTCAATCCTGGACAAACATGAAACTGCAGACAACAGAATCCAAGTTCATGGTTTAAGGTTTTACTTCACAGTCACAGCCTGACATACAAAAAACATGGACGGATGATAAGACATGGTTGAAGAATTACATCACAATGAATATTTTACAGCAACTTCAGTGACCATGTTTGTAATAAGTAACTGAGTTTAATGGTGACAGTTCCTTTTTCAAAAGGATCCTGATGTGAGTACTTATCAAAGCAGTATTCTTTAACCCTATTTAATAAAATCCAACATGTATCTATCATAAAGTCCATCGGATAAGGCCAGAAGAACATATTCCACATGATATACAAATAGAATGGATCAAATAACGAGGTTATTTTCATGAGGTTTGTGTAGCTACATAATTTGTTTCCACTGCAACAATACATAGAGGTCTTTGACTTTAATAAATTTAGTTTGTTTTATTGATGATATATTATTCAGGTAAATGAAACTTTGGAGCAAATCAATGCTAACAATAGCAAGTATTTATTTGAAAATGGAATATTTTCATTGAAATATGACCAATTAAGTCTTTAATCTATTATTTATGAAACTTTGTAGCAGAAAGGAAGCCACTATATTGTTGTCAAAATGAGGCATTATTGTTGTAATCAACCTTTAACTTGTATTCTGTTTTCAAATACGACACAATACATCTCAAATGAAAAAGATTACAATTACTGTAATAGGTCATGAATATCTGACATCAGTGGAAGTCATCAAAACTGGTTGAACTTGATGTTGGTAGGTACTGACCTACCTACCCTGGCTGTGTCACTACCCACACATACACATCAGTCTAGCAATGAGCACCACAGGTAAGGATTATCATCAACATGGTACTATGTACATTAGCATGCATATGCCATCTTCCATATCACAGTCTCTTGTCAATCTTGTCTTTATACATCTGGGGGTCAGAGTTTGAGGTCATTCAGGTTGTATGAGAACCGTGCTGGTTGACTGCCTTTAGTCACTTTCATATTCTGGAGGCTCTCTGAAACAGTAGAAGATAGTTATTTACTTTATTTAGCGTCGCACGCACAACTAAGGTATAACATCAGAAGAGTTGCACATAGTGTATATATACATACACCCTCGATAATCTCCAGGGTATACGTTATGATCACTCTCCACTATACCCTGGATGCATCCGCGGCTTGGCCCGATGATTTTATTACCTCCCTTTGCTGGATTTTCATCCAATCAGGTGTCTACGCTGGGAAGTTGAGCGAACCAATCAAAACTCACTTTCGCTTCTTAAATTATCTAAGTTGATGCAGAGGTACTCTGAAAGAGGTAGAAGGAGTTCTTTCATATAGTTTTTTAAAGTTTCAGATCTGTCAATTTGCCTGTATGATTTCCCCCAAAATCTCAGTCGCACTGCGCACAAACTATCGCGGCTGCGACCGCTATCTTTGTTGACACTGGCAAACTCGTTGAACGGCGGATTAGCTGATTGGCTACTGTGAGAATGCGGAGCCAGCAATGGGAGGTAATATATTATCAGGCCAAGCCGTGGATGCATCCAGGGTATAGTGGAGAGTGATCATAACATATACCCTGGAGATTAATGATATACATACTGACTTCAACAATATGTCTAGGTAATGTACAGCAGTTATTCCACTGTGTGCCACTATGTCTAAGTACATGTACATGCTGACTTCAACAATATGTCTAGGTAATGTACAGCAGTTATTCCACTGTGTGCCACTGTGTCTAAGTAATGTACAGCAGTTATTCCACTGTGTGCCACTGTGTCTAGGTAATGTACAGCAGTTATTCCACTGTGTGCCACTGTGTCTAAGTAATGTACAGCAGTTATTCCACTGTGTGCCACTGTGTCTAGGTAATGTACAGCAGTTATTCCACTGTCTGCCACTGTGTCTAGGTAATGTACAGCAGTTATTCCACTGTGTGCCACTGTGTCTAAGTAATGTACAGCAGTTATTCCACTGTGTGCCACTGTGTCTAGGTAATGTACAGCAGTTATTCCACTGTGTGCCACTGTGTCTAGGTAATGTACAGCAGTTATTCCACTGTGTCAAGGTAATGTACAGCAGATATTAACTTATTATGTCACAATATCTAGGTGATGCACAACAGTTATTCCAGTAATGGCCAGCATGTCTAGGTGTTGCTGAGGAGTCTGACCTGAGAGTTCCTCTTCCAAGGCGTTCCTGGAGCTGGGGAAGGAGTGGGTGTGGTCATCAGGGGGCACCTGGGGTGTCACACCTCTCATAGCAGTGTCAGGGTGGTACTGGTCCACAGCAAAGTTATAAGATAAGGCTGGAACAAACAGATGTTCAGACAACAGTTGTACTTGTATTGTAGTAAGATGTGCAAAAGTTTGGTTCACTTACTAAAATAAATGGCCAAAATATTCTGATATATCCCTTTTTCAAATTACGTTTCCATGTTGATGGAGACCATGAACTACTCTCTCATACATGTTGCATAAGTATTATCGCCTATCTCCTTTCATGCAGTGGGCAACACTGACCAGCAGGTGATGGAATGAGTCGGTGCCAGAAGGGCCGCACTTGTCGCTTCAGAGTCGGATGCCAGAAAGGGGCCTGGATTGCTTCAGCTGAAAGAAAGTGGATGTGTCACATTTTATCACCACTGACCCAGATGACCCTAATTCTGGCAAATCAGGGATCCAAACCAACCATTAACAGTGTATGAAATAAGGCCCGTCCGACCGCCTGGGACGGGTTAGATTTCAGACGGATAGGTCTAGATTTACAGCTAGCCTGACCGATGGTCTGTTAACAAATTTAGATGCTATATACATCTGAGTCGTATCTTTGTGTCTGGTCTGGTTAAATCCGTTTTGGATTGGTAACATTTTGAAGTTACCAGCCCTGATGTCTGGCTGGGGTTTTGGCTTATTTCATACACTGCCATTAATCATCATCCTTGGAGCTAAGAAACATAATATTCCACTGATCACCAGACCATACCTCCAGGTATGCCAAAATATAGGCGACCTGTGCAGATCCAGGTTACAGTTTGTCTTCAGCAACCCGTGCTAAGAGGTGACAAATAGTATCAGGTGGTCAAGCTTGCTGACTTGGCCGATGCATGTCATCTTATTCTAATCTTATTCTAGACTGCTGGCACATAACGGAAAATTGCTGAGTTGCTGTGGCAACCAACCAACAAACAAACAAACAAAATCTAGAATGGAGGCACTGCTGTTTTGTTTTGTGCCAACAGACCAGAAGTTATATTGGGGGCAAATGTTGGATTAAAACTCAAATGATAGGATTCTGGTTGCCTCATGGATACAGCTGTGCATTGGCAGCTGCCATACAACAAAGGGACTTCCCTTGCACCCCTTCGCGTTTGTGAGACTACACTGAACAATCTTATACACTTACTATATATCTGGTTGACCAGAGCCCTCTGTTTTGCAGCAATAACGTCAGGGTCCCACATCTGCAGTTGTCGTTTATTTGGATGTATCTGGCGTAACAACTTCTTCCTGAGTACACAACAGACACTCAGTGAATACATGCACAAATATTGGTCAGCCATCTGAGACTTAATACCATACCATAGCTGTGATCATGTAATCTTTAACACCACAATCAAAGTGATCGACAACCACATCTACAATACCAAAACCAACACCATAAGCAAACAACACTAGACACCAACACCAACAATACCTACCACTTCCATAGCCCCCTGAAAACCACACCTAATATCCACAGTCCCACTCATACCCCATCCCCACCAAGGAACTGGACATGCTCCATACAAACATGTGACAAGTTAGGCCAGTAGTGTAGGGTAAAGACTAGAGTCACGTCAGCCTATTCCCCAGCTGCCCACCTGAAGAACTTCCTCCAGGCCAGCTGAATGGTGAGTGCAGCAATCTGCCGCTCCCACTCCTCCTCTGTGGTCCGCAGACGTCGGCGCCGCACAGCGCCCCGTGCAGTGGATGCAAACTGGTTGGTCAGCTTGGTGGATCTCTTTCTGTACCTGTCACCAGAAAACAAACAGGTAACAACTCTACCTGTGAAGAAGTCTTATGGAACATACAATGTTTTAAGTTACCATTTGTGGGCAGTTATAGCAATGATTCATTTTGTGTCTGTTGTTTAAACCCACACTCAGCACTGTTCCAGCTATATAATGGCCTATAGCCATGAAGAGATGTCCATTCCTGGAAACTTATAAGTTTCTCAGCCTGTCTGCACTACTCACCTCCTCCATGCTGTTTGTATGGTCAAGGCTGCTTGCTGCTTTCTGCGTATTGCCTTCTGTCTAAGTGCATGCTCAGCCTGTCTGCACTACTCACCTCCTCCATGCTGTTTGTATGATCACGGCTGCTTGCTGCTTTCTGCGTATTGCCTTCTGTCGTTCATGCTCAGCCTGTCTGCACTACTCACCTCCTCCATGCTGTTTGTATGATCACGGCTGCTTGCTGCTTTCTGCGTATTGCCTTCTGTCGTTCATGCTCAGCCTGTCTGCACTACTCACCTCCTCCATGCTGTTTGTATGGTCAAGGCTGCTTGCTGCTTTCTGCGTATTGCCTTCTGTCGTTCATGCTCGGCCTGTCTGCACTCACCTCACCCTCCATGCTGTTTGTATGATCAAGGCTGCTTGCTGCTTTCTGTATTGCCTTCTGTCGCTCATGCTCAGCCTGTCTGCACTACTCACCTCCTCCATGCTGTTTGTATGATCAACGGCTGCTTGCTGCTTTCATGCGCATTGCCTTCTGTCGTTCATGCTCAGCCTGTCTGCACTACTCACCTCCTCCATGCTGTTTGTATGGTCAAGGCTGCTTGCTGCTTTCTGCGTATTGCCTTCTGTCGTTCATGCTCAGCCTGTCTGCACTACTCACCTCCTCCATGCTGTTTGTATGGTCAAGGCTGCTTGCTGCTTTCTACGTATTGCCTTCTGTCGTTCATGCTCAGCCTGTCTGCACTACTCACCTCCTCCATGCTGTTTGTATGATCACGGCTGCTTGCTGCTTTCTGCGTATTGCCTTCTGTCGTTCATGCTCAGCCTGCTTCTTACTCTGTGCTTCTTTCTTCTGAGATAGGATTATCTCCCTTTCTGTTGGCATGTACTCCTTCTTCCTGAAACCGTGACATATAACTTACATTGGCATCTGAAACAAATATGTTCACCTGAACTGACTTGAGCATTTCCTAGTTCACTAGTAGCCCACAACAAACAACAGAATGAGGATGTTATACATGGTGCAACAGTCCAGCATCCAGTCATTCAAAGAGATAAAACCTGAGACTTCCTTCAGCTCCAACTCATCCTTTCACCTGCATAAAAGGTTCTCAGAGGTAACCTTCTAACAGAACCACTGACAGGTAAAATATTTGGTATATACAGCACATCTTGTTACCCTGGTAACCTAACCGAACCACTGACAGGTAAAATATTTGGTATATACAGGGCATCTTGTTACCCTGGTAACCTAACCGAACCACTGACAGGTAAAATATTTGGTATATACAGGGCATCTTGTTACCCTGGTAACCTAACCGAACCACTGACAGGTAAAATATTTGGTATATACAGCGCATCTTGTTACCCTGGTAACATCACTGACAGGAAAAATATTTGGTATATACAGCACATCTTGTTACCCTGGTAACCTTCTAACAGAACCACTGACAGGTAAAATATTTGGTACATACAGTGCATCTTGTTACCCGATGCCCTTTGGAACACACAGAACTATCAAGGTAGGTTTGTTTTTGGGATTAAACCAGGGTAGATCCTGCCAGGACAGTTGTAAACATTGTAAACATACATTGTCTAACATGCTACAGGCATAACCAACCAGTGATCGGGGGTAGAAACAAACAACTGCATAGAACCTGGGTACTTACTGGCCAGGATCTTTCCTTGATACATGTCTGGCAAGGGAAGGGGGAACAACTTTTGGTTTTGAAGGCATTATTTCAAGATTGTCACAAATGTACCCCCATCAGAAACTCAATAGATCTTCCTATTTCATTGTCAAATCCAGCTAGGTTTATCATCCGTCCCAGCTGAAGCCATCTTCAAATGTTCACAAGAACACAGTCATATAAATAGTCAGCACTACAATGACTTCCTGTTGGATATATCACCCTGGCAGTTCACAGCACATTTATACCCCAGTCTAGATTTGTGAACCTGACAGGTAATTTCTGTTCTTGATCTCCACTACCAAGAGTCCAGTACCCAGAATCCGTCTCTGATTCAATGGTGTAAGCCACTATCAAACATTGCTGGAGGCACCTGGCTCTGGTCCCCACAGAGTATCCTCCAGACAAGGGTTGTTGTTCTTAGTAACAGCTCTGATCAGGAGGCATTATATGGGGGTAGGGGGGATCATGTGACCCAGTCGCGTCTCCTTGTCACACTGCACTGGATCCATTCAATTATATCACGTCATCCTTATTCAGGTCGTTGTATTAGCGCACACCTATAGAGGCATTGTCTTGTGATCTGTCATTGTGACAGCCAAAGCAAGTGGTTATGACAACCGATTTCTATCTCCTAACAGTCTGTAGTACTGATGCACTTCCTTCCCAGCCAGACCACTCGATGGTTACAAGGAACAGGACACGCTTGGGTCAACAGTTCATCCCTCAGTGTCACAATAACACAGTAATCGAAGTCCACGACTGTGTAGACAAACCCTTCAGCTTATCTATTGATTTCACCCCCTCACTGACTACATATATACATCTGCCCTGTCAGCCTGTACATAGACTATACATAGCATATCTCTTTCTCCACAGGTAACTGCTTATCTACTTCACTCAACAATGATCTCATACCGAGTTCATGTCTTTAAGGAACAATGTCCCTGATATTGGGCCGAGAACATCGTGCAGGGCTTGATTGGATGTAAAACATACACTTGCGCAGCCTAATATTGATTAGAAAACCAAGTGATGTAAGATAACACTGGTCCCACACAACATTGTGCATAATCTACAATGTTGAAAGCGTCTGACCCTCTGACAAATCCGGCAGATTTGCCAAAACCAAGTGCCCCAGTGTCTGACTATAGATGACTTTGACTGAAGTGCTTTTTATGTGACATTTGACACTTGTTTCCTTATGTTTGTTCATAATTTCAACAATTATAAGAAATATTAAATCTGAAATGTGTGTTTAATTTTATTCCATGGGTCCTGTGCATTTTCAATGGGTCAGACCATTGTGGACATAATCTACACCTGGTGGAGGTGTATGTAACATGCCACATCACAAACCGATGTGTTGTGTAGTTTTCAGGCTTGATATCACCAAATTGCTAGAACTAGAAGATTGTGTGCACACATTCCAATTACATTTTACAGCAATACTTATTGCGACACAGACTGCAGACTGGCTAATGTTTCATCTAGGATATCTATGGGACCAGATCAACTTGTCAACATGCACCTGGTGAATGTCATGAGAAACAAGACTTGATAATGTGACATACCTGAACTTAGCACAAACTAATGGTTTTCCTCATTCACAGAGGGTAAGGCAGTGATCCGCTGGACCTGTGATGCATGCTAATGACATTTCTTTTGTCATGTGTTTTCTACTGCTGTAGGTATTGCCTCTTTCCACTTCACTTGTGCCAAACCGCCTCCGTGGTGTAGTGGTTAGAGCATCCGCCCGGAGAGCGGAAGGTCGCGGGTTCGATCCCCGACCGCGTCATACCAAAAGACGGTTAAAATATGGTACTTGTTGGTCCCTGTCTGGCGCTCGGCATTAATGGGTACAACAAGGTCTGGTCGGCTTGGAGTCAGTATAATGTGTCTGAGTGGGGTATTCATGCTTCACTGCGGCATGGTATCTCAGTGGGCTAGCACTATAAAACCAGCTTAAGTCTGGGCTAGTACAAGCAGCCGCACATACACATACACATACACACGCATGCACGTCGTCATATGAGCGAAATATTCTCAAGCACGACGTTAAACCCAATTTCATCTCTCACCTCACCTCACTTGTGCCATAATTTGCATTTTTGAGCTGTGGATTTTTTTAGGTTCTAGTTTCAAGACATTTATCATATAGCTTTGACATGGATGTGGAAATGTTTTCTGAGAAGCATTTAGGTAACAGAATGTGTTGGCTCTCTTAAATGTAGAAAGACCCTCTTCCTTGACAAACTGTTTGCTCCTTGATATGTACTGAGCAGGGGGACGAGGTCCCATGTCATCCAAGTTTCTTGGAACAGGAGTGAGTCAGTTCATTCTTTATCCAATTGTTAATCATAGTTGTTATTTTAGACATTTCTGTCCGATCTCAGTTGTCTTATGATGTGTCCCAGTCATTACCTCAAGCAGTGTGCAGTTAATCAAAATTATCTTTGATCGAGCTATAGCTGAATCTAGCAAAGCATGAACTCTCCTCGCATACTTGACATCTAGCGTGGAGGTCTCCGCTAAGCTGACAACAGATCAGTCGGTGATCCAGGAGAATCCATCCCCCTCAATATGTGTCAAACACTATTTTCTTGACCTTGCTTCTTATACTCACTCAAGCTACCAATCTACTCATACTATGTCTGAACATGTGAAAAGATGTCACAGTGCAAAGTAAGAAAATTAAACATTGTTCGATGAGATAGTTTTTAAGGTTTACATTTGACCACACTGGTCAAAAAGTAATGTTTTCACACCTTGCACATGCACATTTGCATTTGTTTGACATGAGAGAGTATCTTTCAATTCTTAGACATGCTGTCAGTGAAGAGGTCTGTTGAAAATGTGCAAGATTTTATTGTGCGATTATATGACTAAACAGTAATTAAAAGCTATGATGTAATAGAGGTTGGGTATACAAAGGTATTAAAGCATTATCTCAATTAATAAATATCCACCAAAGATAAAATAAAATTCAAAAGGACTACTGAGCAATAAATGACTTTGATTCTATTTTAAACACATATTCACTCTGGTCTGGGAGACCTGTATTCCACTTGTGTCTGTTCAAGCACGACCTATTCTGGGGACCTATTCTGACCTACAGGGAAGTCAGCTGTAAATTGTAATAAGAAACTGTGATTCTGCTCTAGTAGTACATGACTTCTACGAATGATTGAAAGATAACCAAGCATTACCTGAGAGGGGCTTGAAGCACATCAGCCATGTCGTAAGTCCCGAGAGAAAGAAGCCTCTATTTCCAGCACATACTGTCAACAACAGTGCACCCACACAGTCCACTTGTAACCATGCTCTCCTGTTTGATATACTTATACTGCATAATACTTCACACCGGGGAAGTAATAACTGCTTGGGGATTTCTATTTACCTCTCTTAGTGTTGGAGTGTGCAAGGTAATGACACTTCACACCTGACTGGCCTAATCCATTGGGTTGTCCAGAGCCCTCTACAGGTAGGCAGTGGAGGATATAGTCTTTGAAAGGCACCTTCATTCAGCCAGTAAGCAATACTCTTTGTATTCAGTCAATGGAGAGTCATACAAGTATCAGAGTCTGATATTTATTATGCTATATTTCATGCATTTATATTGAAATAACACTGACTCAATTCTACCAGATTATTGTACGCACTTCTTTCTTTGAATTTTATCAGGACTTTCCCTCCCATACAAGCAGGACTGAAAGTCACCAAGCTTGCTTGTACCAGATATGACAAACAATATGATCAAAATCAAACAGGCAACATAACTGTGTATTACTCAAACACTTCTTTTACACATTACACACAGTCCTAGTTTGTAAAACAGTTTTGTTCAATTACCATTCCACCTGTGGTGGTTGTAAGGTGCAATGGACAAGGAACTGTCCCAACTGTGGAGAGTTGAACAATAAGCCCTGAGCCCACTTTAGCTATTATGCAATCTGACAACACTCCATTAATTCCTGCCTGTGTTGTACCAGGCAGCTCTAATATATATCACAGGATTAAATATTGTGTCATGATAAGTCTGGATAAGTGGTTTGATCTCATTCCAGCAGTATTCGGTTCACTGGCTCTGGTGTTCAAGAAGCTGTGGTAGAGACAGAGGTAGGCCTATCCCGTGTAGGACACCATGCATCTATCTTTCTGTGATGGAACTTCGGATGGAATGGTACATTTGCTATTGTTGACTGTATTGTTATCGTTGTTTATCAGATTTTAGGTGAAGCTTTAGGACTTGATATATGTGGGCATTTTGTTGTTTTTATTCTTGTTGTTCACAGATTAGAATAAATAAATGCAGGTAAGAGGCTTCTTGTGATCCTGGCACAGTTAGGCTGGTATTTTCTCTCCTGTGCACAGAGCTTCAGACTGTTCACAGTGTTCACAGTGTTCCTAACAATTTCTACTCCAGGTTGTTATCACGCTTTATATGTTTCAGCAAGGGTCATGATCTAACAACATGATTCACTTGATAGGATACTGGCCTTCAAATACAAAGATTTATAACTTAGATTGTGCAACAATGTACTGTAAATCATGAAATTAATGCGAAAAATGCATCTGTACTCTTCTCGGATGATCATAATGCATTTCAGTCTGACCATGTCTACTTTTGAGAACTGAATAAAAGACAGAAAACGTAAATCTCTTGTCATCTTCACTGTCTTCAGGTCAGCATTCATCAAAGCAATACAGAATATAACAACAATTTAGACATCTCTCATAAAATTATTTGACAAATGAGCACTAATTTCCATGACACTAATTGATATCCATAGAACTTATTCATCGGGCAAATTATGTAACAATACCAGAAGTGTTGACACTACACATTACACCAATACAGGTCACTTCCTCATTACAGGTATCTCAAGCCACACGTAATTATCACTGGTTATAATCACTGGTCATTGTTTAAATTCACTCAAGCACATCAGCCCGACTGGATAATCTCCAACCACTTGTTTGTTGTACCTTGGTATCCTGAGCTCGCATTAACTTCGTGACGCATTTTAGACTAGACCCTCACATTCGCATTAAATTTGTGACGCATTAATTTCATGATTTACAGTATTTACTTATCAAGTTTTTATCCACCACTAAGCTCCATGACAGCAGCCATAAATCTGTACCCTCTAAAAAATTCCAAAATGATCAATACATGGCAAGTTGCATGATCAAAGACATATGTGCACATACTTGACAGCAGGAGTTTCAGGAAGCGAATGGTGTAGCTGTTTTGAAGGGATTAAAAAATAGTCAACATGAATGTTAGTGCAGTATCTACCCACTCGGAAAGTGCCTTGTGGAGACATGTTAAACGTGTTTATATGTAACAGCACAGAGATACAGTTACTACAGCTTGTCTTGTTACTATTGTGTGAGAAGCTTCACAGTTAGTATGCCATGTATGCTATGTATTGTATTTGAGGCTGACTGTGCCAGTTATGTCTTCTTTTGATCTGTACAGTTATGCTTTTTATTGGTGTTGACCCATTGTTCCCCTCTATCTAGTTACTGACTTGAGTTTACGACTCTTCCTTTGAAAGCTGTCTTGGCATGGTAATGTACTGCATCAAGTACACCTGCTGCCACCGTGTTTGTACCACTGCTGTCAGCATGGTTGTCTGTCTTGGTAATGTACTGCATCAAGTACACCTGCTGCCACCGTGTCCATACCACTGCTGTCAGCATGGTTGTCTGTCTTGGTAATGTACTGCATCAAGTACACCTGCTGCCACCGTGTTTGTACCACTGTTCGTACCACTGCTGTCAGCATGGTTGTCAGTCTTGGTAATGTCTGCATCAAGTACACCTTGCCACCGTGTTACTACACTGCTGTCAGCATGGTTGTGTGTCTTACACCTGCTCTGTTGGTAATGTACTGCATCAAGTACACCTGCTGCTGTGTTCGTACCACTGCTGTCAGCATGGTTGTGTCCTTGGTAATACCACTGCTGTCAGCATGGATTGTCTGTCTTGGTAATGTACTGCATCATGTACACCTGCTGCCACCGTTACCACTGCTGTCAGCATGGTTACCACTGCTGTCAGCATGGTTGTCTGTCTTGCTAATGTACTGCATCATGTACACCTGCTGCCACCGTACACCTGCTGTACCAGCATGGTTGTCTGTCTTGGTAATGTACTGCTGCTGTCACCTGCTGCATGATTGTACCACTGCTGTCAGCATGGTTGGTAATGTCCTGCATCATGTACACCTGCTGCCACCGTGTTTGTACCACTGCTGTCAGCATGGTTGTCTGTCTTGGTAATGTACTGCATCAAGTACACCTGCTGCCACCTGTGTTTGCCACCGTGTTCGCATTACCACTGCTGTCAGCATGGTTGTCTGTCTTGGTAATGTACTGCATCATGTACACCTGCTGCCACCGTGTCCATACCACTGCTGTCAGCATGGTTGTCTGTCTTGGCCTCAGGGTTATGTATTGAGCCTAGCAATTCTTCTCACCTCTGGCACCAACTTTCATGTCTTTTGCGGAGTCCTCTATTTGTGCAGCCATCTTCAGGAATTGGCACAAGTTCAATCTCTTATTGATGGCTTATATTCAAGCCTACTGGCTGGCTGTTTGAAAGAAATGATCTTGTATTTTGTCCACACATTTCTAAAATTCACATTGATTGAATTCCCTGCTCTCTCTTGCAGTAAAAGCTGCATTGCTTCTTGTGGGTCTCATATGGAGGAATATATACCTGTCAATAAGCTGATATTATGCATCACCTTCTTGAAACAATTACAGTTTTGATATGAGAATAGCTGTCTGACCCTGAATTGTTTAGTTGGCTTTTCTCAAATCTCTTTCTCATTATTATGGCGAGCACACTGGGGCAGATCCCTTCAAAAGCCTTCCATGGATTCTTCCAAACCTTGTTAGATACCTAGTTTTCAGAAGTCTTAAATGAAGGACTTCAATCACTGACTAGAGTTTGGAACCTACTGTTGTGTCTGTGATGCTGTTTGTCTGGCCCAGCAAGTGTCCTATCACAAGTTCTTGTTCTACAAACTTTGCACATATATACAAGACACACTTATCACTATATTCTTGGCTTTCCTTGTTGACTTGTAGATGAGAGTCCACTGGCTTCCTGTGTGTATGGTTTATATCAGATCCCACATAATCAACACACACCACAAAGCACATTAAACTAACATGGTGTTGGAGCAGTTCTGAACCCTTCCTGCCACACATGGTGTTATAACATTTATCTTATAATGGTCCAGTAAGTCAGCAAGATAAGGTGATAAATATGATATCTGTGGAGTCATATGTGAGTACAAATTAAATGCAAGTATGAGAGGTCAGGTTAAGACTCCTCTTTGTGTCTACTAACATAGCATTGCCCTTGTCAATCAATGATCGAATAAGATGATGTCTTCTGAAGTCTGGGAAATTACTTTGATTAATGTTATCATTATCAAAACGGTAGTCTAACTTGGCTAGACATAGCTTAGTTGGTTAACAAGTTTAGATGTAGTGAGACAGTTTGGTGAAGACACTAGCCCGACAACATATGTAAGTGTAGACGTCTGGAACCTGGGGTCTTGCCCCTGGTTAAAACATGGATTTGATGGGAGATTTGAAGGAACCATGGGCACAGTTAATTGCCATTTCTGGCTTAGTTCACAAGAAAATACACAATAATCTCAGTCTCTCATATAAAACAATGTTAAGCCGAACAGGAGGTAAAACTGAAATGGGAAATCATTCTGTCTAGTGTTGTTTTATCAGCAATTTCAATTTTTTATTGACCAAATTGGTTAAAATGAGTTAATTTATACATGAATTTGCTGAAGGATTTTGATAGTAAGTAGAAATACATTCCCAGTTATCCGTACCACACTGTAAGAAGGTAATGGTTGATCGAGTGGCCTGTACTTCCTGTGTCACCAGTGCCAGACGTCTGTGGTTATACCAGTGTAAATATGAGTTTTTGTCTCATGTGGAATTAATATGTGCTGTAAGGGCTCCTGATGTTTACAATGCACGCATGGTGCAAGGGCACAGTCCAAAATGATCCTGTTGACTCCCCATCGATAACCTCTAAATATTAATCTTTGTTAAGTATAGTTTCATTTCATTAATATTCTTTGCAATTGTATTGGTAGCAGTTATATACAGGTAGTTACAAGTTCCAATGTATTTATATGAGTTATAAACAGCTGAGGTTAACTTGTACTGTGTCATGTGACTTTCACTGACTCATATACAATGAACAGTCTTGGGTTCGTGACAGGGTACAGGGAATTTTCTTCACCTCAGAAACCCAGTTGTTAAGCAGGGTATAGGGGATTTATTCACCTACTAAGAATTTATTTCCACACAAGGTCGGATCTATAGAATTTATCAAGATCATGAAAACCAATCAAGATTTCAATATTTTGACATTGAGGAATAATAATGTAATTTTTTAAGTAAAATTGATCTTTTATACTTATCCTGACTCATGATCTTTTGCTTATCTCCTTTTCCCTTGTGAATGGTAGTGGAACACTTGAATCCCTTGTAGTTCCCGAAGCAGACATAAAAATACACTCACCCACGAGTTACCTCCCTTCTTTACTTGTCACTCTCTCCTGATTTTTCTGCCCATGCACCTGGATCTACTGTGAAATCCGAAGTGTTTTCAGTGGGGAGGTTGGGAGGGCTTCTCCTCATGAGTCAGGATAAGTATAAAATATCAATTTTACTTTAAAAATTACATATTTTTCCTTATCCTGACTCATGATCTTTTGCTTATAGAATCCTAGATTGGTGGTGGGTCAAGCCACTTCCTGGATTCAACAGCTGTCCATAGATACGTCCTGTATCCCCCCCATGGGAACTGCGTAACAGCATTTCCTAGATCCTATTCTTCCAACTTCCGTTGTAACTCGGGGGGACCACCATCTTGTCTTACTTCTCTCTCAGACAAGTGAATCTTGTAGATTCATGTGGCTTAAGATATACTAGTATCTTCTATTTACTACTTATCTATAACAACCCATAGATTATGATAAGATCTTTATCATAAATGAGTTGCGACTGCTTTACGTACAGGTAAAGATCTTACCTGAGTCTTAATCACTCATGCTAGCCTAGTCTAGACTGTGCGCATGGACTTTCAAACTAGAACTTTTTCCATAGTAAAAGTTATCAACAAGTCAACGTGATAAAGGGTGAGATTTCAACTCAGCGCCTTTGAGGAACCATTAGTTGTTGTGCTACAACAAGAGGCCCAAACTGGTGAATGCCGGAGATGTCTTTGTTGGCTATGTCTCGGAGGTAGTGGTTGGCAAACACCGTATCTGACTTCCAGAAGCAGCCCTCCATGATCGATGATATAGAGCAATTTCCATGCAGAGCCAGTGTTGACGCCAGTGCTCTGACTTCGTGTGGGTTGGAGGCTCTTGGAGGCTCTAATCCTGCTGCTTTCTAGGCTCTTAGTATAACGGCTCTCATCCAAAACGATATTGTCGTTCTTGACTTCCACTGCTGTCTCCAGCGACAAGGGGATGAATAGGTGCTTGAATTTTCTTCTCCTTGTTTTAGTGTCTTTTGAAGATATATCTTCAAGGCTCTGACAGGACACAAGGATAAGTCCTGGGTGTCTTCTGGTCCGAGGATCGTAGCTAGTGCTGGCACATGGAACTGTCTATCTGGTTGACAAGGTAGTTGATTCTTTGCAATAAAGTCCCATCTAAGTCCTAGATGTACTGCAGCACGGTGCCCCGTGTCGAATCTAGTTCGTCCAAAGTCCAGCGCATGTATCTTAGACATACGAGCTGCCGTGGCTAGGGCAAGCAGGAACAGAGTTTTCTGCGTGAGTAGCTCGAAGGTAGTCTGCTCTAGAGGTTCGTAGGCATTGCTCATGAGATGACGTAGAATTACATTCAGATCCCAGGCTGGTGCTCTGAATTTCTTTTGCTGGTCCTCCAGTTTAAAAGATCGCAGCAAAGCAAGTAATTCTGGTACTTTCGTCAATTTGATGCCTGACTTCATAGTGATGACTGTACTAATGGCTGCCAGATATGTAGATAATGTCGAACCTTTCAGATGTCTTGTATATCTAAGGTGACATAGATATTCCGCCACTTGAGGATGAGACGCTTTCATAGCTGTGAAGCCTTTCCGCCTTGCATATTGCTCATATGTCTGCCATTTGTCGTCATACAAATTGCGAGTAGATCTGCGTAACGCTAGGGTTACTGCTTTCGCTGCTCTGGCGGAGTATCCTCTTTTCTTCAGACAGGTTTTGATACGGTCCACACGTGTAGCTGGAACAATGTTGGGTTTCTTTGGACTTGCTTGGTGTGAGGATGTCTGAGTAGGTTCGGCCATTCTGGTAGTTTGAGGGTTGGACCTCCAAGATCTTCTATTAGGTCTAGGAACCAGACTCTCACTGGCCAATAGGGCGCGACCAAAGTCAGTTGTAGCGCTTGTGTCTGTTTGATCTTCAACAGTACTTTCGGTAGTAATATCGGAGGTGGAAACGCGTAAGCGTTCAGTCCTTCCCATGATATGCTCAGTGCATCTGTTGCCCAGGCATGGGGGTCTGGTACTGGTGAAACAAACGTCTGTAGTTGTTTGTTGAACTTCGTGGTGAACAGGTCTATGCATGGGGATCCTAGTTCCCTTATGATGAGCCAGAACGCTTCTGGATGGAGCATCCATTCCGTGGGTGATGGGTGCAGTGGTTGGGAAAGAGCGTCTGCTAGTCGTTCTTGGCTCCCGGTATGTGACAGATGTTTGCCTTCTCCGTGATGTTGAACAACTGGAATGTGAGCTGCAATAGGCTTGGCGATCTTGTTGATCCTTGCCGATTTATGGAGAATGCCACTGTAGAGTTGTCTGTGTGGATCATCAGCATTCTGTTGCTCAGCGAACCCGACCATAGTTGTACGGCGTTGATCACAGCTTTCATTTCTAGCAGATTGATGTGAAGATGCTGTTCTGCATTTGACCACTTCCCTGATGCAACTTGGTTGTTGAGATGTGCACCCCATCCCTGTAGCGATGCATCAGTGTAGAGATGTGTGTCGAAGACCGGCTCTTGTAAATAGGTCCCTGCGCAGAAATTTGACCTGTGAGTCCACCAAAGTAGGTACACTTTGAGATGATCTGGTAGCAAGATAGGGTCGCTGCTGTCCAGATGTTTTGCCAGGAATCGTTGCAATGGCCGTAGTTGTAACCTTCAAGTCTTGTGCTGAGGTTAGTAGACCGAGTAGACATTGCCATGTTCATAGTGTTAACGGAGAAATGACTGCTTGAGGAATCATGGCTTGTATCTTGACCCAACGATCTTCTGGGGTCACAATTCGATTCTGTGTTGTGATAAATCTTATCCTCAGGAATTGCAGATCTTGTTTTGGTTCCAACTTCGACTTCATCAGGTTCACTAGCCATCCTAGTTGCGTGAGCAACTTGATTGTGAAGTTCAGCTGCTGTCCGAGTTGATTGGCACTTTGATGAACCTGTATGCTGTCGTCCAGATAAAAGGCATTGCGTAGACCTCGATGATGTAGGTAGGCGACTATGGGCTTGGTTATTCGTATGAATAACCAGAGAGCCGACGATATTCCAAACGGTAGGACGTTCCATTGGAAGTGCTGACCTCTGAATAGGAATCGTAGATATTTCCTTGATTCTGGATGTATGGGGATGTGTAGATATGCATCCTGTAGGTCTATGCTGGCCATAAAGTCTGCCGGACGAATTAGTAGTCTGAGTTGAGGTAGGTGGATCATTCTGAACCTTTCCGGTTTGAGTAGATAGTCTTGGTTGCATTTCCGCATGTTGTAAATCAACTTGAATTTCTCTTTGGAATTCTTCTTGGGTACTAGGAAAATTGGGGAGTAGAAGCCTGGCGTGAGATGATCTTGATCTATTCTTTCTACTGCATTCTTGGTTAGAAGTGAGTTGATGGCTTCTTGTAGTTTGTCTGCTTGCTCGTCTGCATAGTTGAAGACCATCGGTCTGAGGGTTAACAGTGGTGTGGCCTTGAGCTGCACTCTGTACCCTTCTCGCAGTACTTGTGAGACGTAGTCGTCATCCAGTAATCCCCAATTTTCCCAGTACCTTTGTGGCGTCCACCCACTGTTGATGGTTGTACAGGAACGGCTGGGGGTGGAAGCATCCAGTCGTTCCGAACCCCACTTTCAGCATCTAGCCCCTGTGAAACCTCTGGGAGTACGTCCTCTCCCTGAGTTTCCTCTGTAGTTTCCGGATGGGCGACGAAAAGGACTTTTCCCGCCTCTGAAGTTGGAGTACTTCTTCTCCTTAGCCTTCTGGATACCGGAAAATTTTGATTTGCTGTTGTACTTCTGTGAAGTATGACGAATGACGTTGGCTAGAGTATCTATAGACTTGATCATCATGACTTCCCTTGAGTCGTGAGTAGCTTCCTTGGCTGCTTCATCTATCTCACCTCCGAACTCACGCCGCCCAAGGAGCTCTAAGTAGCGGTTGGATAAACCTGTCACTCCAGGAACACGATGCCAGTAGACCCTGTCTCCGTAATAAGGTGACACCCGCCGACGTTGAGGCCAGATGATCCGATATGAAATATTGGTCCTTTTTCTGAGTGAGCAAAGCAGATAATATCATTCTATCTTCTTCCGAACTGGGGTTCTGGAACTTGTTAATCAATGCCTCACTGATTGCTCTGGACCTCGCTAATCCGAAGAAGGATCTCCTCGTCGCTGTATCAAGTTGAGCCAACTTCTTATCCTCCACCTTGTAGACCTTGTTCCGAGAGTCGTTAACCAGTTTTATATTTTCATCTAAGTCCGGCGCTCTCATGAAGGGGTCCATGTGATGTAAGGGGAATTGCCTCACATTAAATGCTGGCAGATGTTGATTCTGGAATCTAGAAGCTTTGTCAAAAGATGTGCGTAGATTCGAAGGCACCTTGGATATAGGCTCAATAGGCGGAATGGTGATTGAGTCAAAGTCGTCCTTGCACATCTTATATGTGTAAAATTCATCCAATTCCTTGGAGGGAGACTCTAAGTTCAATCCATTAGCTATCCAAGCTGTAACTTCCATATCTGAGAAGACGTAGTCGGTATGTTCATCAGATAGTTCTTGTTCCGTAGAACTATGCCTTCGCGAAATCCTCCGTGTGCAAACCTTCCTTTCGCGAATGTTTTGAGTCATCCTTTCGCTGAACGTCTGTCTCTGATTCCTCCCTTCGAACCTCTGTCTCTTGATCCATCCCTTAGCTGGAACTTCCTTCTCACGAACCCTATCTTCGCGAACCTTCTCTTCGCGTATGAGAGCTGTGGGATGTAGATCTGGAACGGCTGGCTCTTGGGGATGGATTCCTAGACGTTCTCAAATGTTGAGGGTTCGACGACGAAGTTGTCGTAGAGTTAGTAGCCTTTGCGGACCTTCAATCCTGTTCTATGATGACAGAGTTGTCCGATTGTGATGACCTTCTTGAACGTTCACGTTCGCTAACATTGTCTGCAGATGTAGATCTGTGAGGCGTATTGGGTTCGTAGGTCTGAGGGTTTGCGAACGTTGTCAGTTGATGAACGTTCCTGCCGTGCCTTCGCTTTCTCATCAAAACTTCATTCCATCATGGCCATCATTTGAGTAGTAAATTGCCTCATAAAGTCGCCTGGATGGAAGTTCTGCGTAGACTGGAACTGATTCGGCGTTGATGAAGCGTTTGTGAAGCTGATGTGTTGTGTGTTTCAACTTCACTGCGTTGAGAAGTTGGTGGTTGGTCGTCAAACAGCTAGGCCGCTGTTGTAGTTGCAGGAGATGATCTAGTAGTCATGGAGGTCGATTGTGTCTCCGATCTAATAGGTACTTCAGGCAGAAGTAACGGTGGTTCATCAAACACGTCTGCCTCGAGCGGTAGGATAATGTCCTCATTAAACGACCTTTGATGAGTTGACTTGCTAGGCCGTGTAGATTTTGATGTAGACCTAGTTATGGATGCCCTTTTCTGCGTTGTGGATGAAGCAGTAGTCTTTTTCTTGCTCTGAGAGGGCGTCAACTCCGTCGTAGCAGACCTCTTTTTCGACCCCGTACCAGACGACTGCCCCTGCAACATACTCAACATAGCACCAGAATTATTTATTTCTGCAGTAGCAAACAACCTACGGTTACCGGCTTGATCTCCAGGTTCACCAACCGTGACTTGTGATGACTTCCTCACCCGATCCATGGCACGCAAATTTGATAAATCACTGCAATATGTGAGTGAGTGAGTGAGTGAGTGAGTATGGTTTTACGCCACTTTTAGCAATATTCCAGCAAAATCACGGTGGGGGACACCAGAAATGGGCTTCACACATTTTACCCATGTGGGGAATCGAACCCGGGTCTTCGGCGTGACGAGCAAACGCTTTAACCACTAGGCTACCCCACCGCCCCACTGCAATATGTACAACGTGAGCTGGAAGAACATGGTTTAATGCACGGTGGGCATTGGGGTGAGGATCAGCCACAGATAGCCGGTGCCTGCAAACAATGCAAGATTTCATGAAATGTAAACACGTTACATTACGATGAAAAAGTGTAACAAATTACAAAAAGTTCTTCAAATTTTATACAACCAATGCATTATAGTTATAGCCAAATACCATACACAACGTAATTTTGATAAATAAGATCTAAATATAAAGGATATCTGCTGTATACGGGACTCCAGTGCTCGTCCAACCATCCGCTTGGGCGAAAAGGGAGAGAGTGACAAGTAAGGCTGGTCACATGACTGTTTGCGCGGGGAAAGAAGGGAGGTAACTCATGGGTGAGTGTATTTTTACGTCTGCTTCAGGAACTACAAGGGATTCAAGTGTCCCACAACCATTCGCAAGGGAAAGGGAGATAAGAAAAAGATCATGAGTCAGGATAAGGAAAAATAAAGGCCTTATCTTGCCCACAATGAAATTGACAGAGCCTTTTTTATTTAATCAAACATATAAAAGTCAGAAAAGTTTCTTTGTAGACAATATGACAGCTATATGAGGTCGATTGGAAATAACTGAGCCTGGACAATGTACACAAATGTCAAAAGAAATGAGTGAATAGTCAGACAGAAATGAGTGCATGCAAACTTATTTAGGGACCAAGAGTGAAACCATGACCGACTTTTGTCATTACTACTATTATCATAGGATATCTAAATAGCGCACATGTCCATGTAACTAGTACATGCTCAAGGCACTGGAGTGTTCCCTTGATCAACGGATGTCTTTTTCTGGCATTACTATAACCAACTCTACTCCCTGTGGAGTATTCAACTCGTGCAGCCTGTTAAGCACAGCGATTTATCACACAGATTCATCCTCACAAGGTACCCATTTGCAGCTGGGTGAACTGGGACACACAGTCACAGTATTTTGTCCAATGATACTGCACGTTACTATACCCACAACTAGGTGTCTGCACGTGTTCGTGTGTCCACCATCTGGTCACCTATCATCAGATGAATGGGTTCTTTTAAGTGCACAGGGTTGTGTACTGCACACTAGGGGTTGTGACAACACTGAAAGAGCCTCCAAGGTTTTTACACCCGGTCACAAGTGGGGATTGATCCTGGCTAGCGGCACCTTACACACCTCGTCCACCGTACTATACTATATCATGTGATTAACCAATTTTCTGCGTAGTGCTGCTGGTTCAGGGTGGGTCGTACTCAGGTACCTGAATCACCTGTCCTGTCACCTATGTCCCAACTTACTTTTTGGTTCCACTTTTGATTTCCACTGCAGGTGCTGTGTCCACTGTTCCTGCTGTCTCCATGGTAACCAGGTCAGAGGTGACATACTTATCTTCCACATCTCGCTTGTGCTGCACATCCTCCTTCTTGCGGTACTCCTCCACTGCACGCTTCCTGCATCCACAGAACAAGTCATCAAACTCATATTACTCCATGTAATCCCCCACCTGTCACCTGGCAGAAGTATATCTCACACTACTCTATGTCAGAAGTATATCTCACACTACTCTATGTCAGAAGTATATCTCACACTACTCTATGTGAGAAGTATATCTCACACTACTCTATGTGAGAAGTATATCTCATACTACTCTATGTGAGAAGTATATCTCACACTACTCTATGTCAGAAGTATATCTCACACTCAGAACTCTCTATTTATCTCACACTCTCTATGTGAGAAGAATATCTCACACTACTTAAGAAGTATATCTCACACTACTCTATGTGAGAAGTATATCACACTACACTCTATGTGAGAAGTATATATATACTCACACACTCTATGTGAGAAGTATATCTCACACTACTTATGTGAGAAGTATATCTCACACTACTCTATGTGAGAAGTATATCACACTACTCTATGTCAGAAGTATATCTCACACTACTCTATGTGAGAAGTATATCTCACACACTACTCTATGTGAGAAGTATATCTCACACTACTCTGTGAGAAGTATATATCTCACACTACTCTATGTCAGAAGTATATCTCACACTACTCTATGTCAGAAGTATATCACACTACTCTATGTCAGAAGTATATCACACTACTCTATGTCAGAAGTATATCACACTACTCTATGTGAGAAGTATATCTCACACTACTCTATGTGAGAAGTATATCTCACACTACTCTATGTGAGAAGTATATCTCACACTACTCTATGTGAGAAGTATATCTCACACTACTCTATGTGAGAAGTATATCTCACACTACTCTATGTCAGAAGTATATCACACTACTCTATGTGAGAAGTATATCTCACACTACTCTATGTCAGAAGTATATCTCACACTACTCTATGTGAGAAGTATATACTCTATGTCAGAAGTATATCTCACACTACTCTATGTGAGAAGTATATCTCACACTACTCTATGTGAGAAGTATATCTCACACTACTCTATGTGAGAAGTATATCTCACACTACTCTATGTCAGAAGTATATCACACTACTCTATGTCAGAAGTATATCACACTACTCTATGTGAGAAGTATATCTCACACTACTCTGTGTCAGAAGTATATCTCACACTACTCTATGTGAGAAGTATATCTCACGCTACTCTATGTGAGAAGTATATCTCACACTACTCTATGTGAGAAGTATATCTAACACTACTCTATGTGAGAAGTATATCTCACACTACTCTATGTCAGAAGTATATCACACTACTCTATGTCAGAAGTATATCACACTACTCTATGTCAGAAGTATATCTCACACTACTCTATGTGAGAAGTATATCTCACACTACTCTATGTCAGAAGTATATCTCACACTACTCTATGTCAGAAGTATATCTCACACTACTCTATGTCAGAAGTATATACCTCACACTACTCTATGTCAGAAGTATATCACACTACTCCATGTCAGAAGTATATCTCACACTACTCTATGTGAAGTATATATCACACTACTCTATGTCAGAAGTATATCTCACACTACTCTATGTGAGAAGTATATATCACACTACTCTATGTGAAGTATATCTCACACTACTCTGTATATATCACACTACTCATGTGAGAAGTATATCACACTATCCTATGTCTACTTATGAAGTATATCTCACACTACTCCATGTCAGAAGTATATCTCACACTACTCTATGTCAGAAGTATATCTCACACTACTCTATGTGAGAGTAGTATATATCACACTACTCTATGTCAGAAGTATATATCACACTACTACTGTCAGAAGTATGTCAGTGAGTATATCTCACACTACTCTATGTCAGAAGTATCTCACACTACTCTATGTCAGAAGTATATATCACACATGTCAGAAGTATATCTCACACTACTCTATGTCAGAAGTATATCTCACACTACTCTATGTCAGAAGTATATCTCACACTACTCTATGTCAGAAGTATATCTCACACTACTCTATGTCAGAAGTATATCTCACACTACTCTATGTGAGAAGTATATCTCACACTACTCTATGTGAGAAGTATATCTCACACTACTCTATGTGAGAAGTATATCTCACACTACTCTATGTCAGAAGTATATATCACACTACTCTATGTCAGAAGTATATCTCACACTACTCCATGTCAGAAGTATATCTCACACTACTCCATGTCAGAAGTATATATCACACTACTCTATGTCAGAAGTATATATCACACTACTCCATGTCAGAAGTATATCTCACACTACTCTATGTCAGAAGTATATCTCACACTACTCTATGTCAGAAGTATATCACACTACTCTATGTCAGAAGTATATCTCACACTACTCCATGTCAGAAGTATATCTCACACTACTCTATGTCAGAAGTATATCTCACACTACTCTATGTCAGAAGTATATCTCACACTACTCTATGTCAGAAGTATATCTCACACTACTCTATGTCAGAAGTATATATCACACTACTCCATGTCAGAAGTATATCTCACACTACTCCATGTCAGAAGTATATATCACACTACTCTATGTCAGAAGTATATCTCACACTACTCTATGTCAGAAGTATATCTCACACTACTCTATGTCAGAAGTATATCTCACACTACTCTATGTGAAGTATATATCACACTACTCCATGTCAGAAGTATATCTCACACTACTCAGAAGTATATGTCACTAGTATATCAGAAGTATATCCTCACACTACTCTATGTCAGAAGTATATCTATCAGAAGCTCTATGTCAGAAGTATATGTCACACTACTCTATGTCAGAAGTATATCACACTACTCTATGTCAGAAGTATATCTCACACTACTCCATGTCAGAAGTATATCTCACACTACTCCATGTCAGAAGTATATATCACACTACTCCATGTCAGTATATATCACACTAGTATATATATCACACTACTCCATGTCAGAAGTATATCTCACACTACTCCATGTCAGAAGTATATCTCACACTACTCCATGTCAGAAGTATATATCACACTACTCTATGTCAGAAGTATATCTCACACTACTCCATGTCAGTATATATCACACTACTCCATGTCAGAAGTATATCTCACACTACTCCATGTCAGAAGTATATCTCACACTACTCCATGTCAGAAGTATATATCACACTACTCTATGTCAGAAGTATATCTCACACTACTCTATGTCAGAAGTATATATCACACTACTCCATGTCAGAAGTATATCTCACACTACTCTATGTCAGAAGTATATCTCACACTACTCTATGTCAGAAGTATATCTCACACTACTCTATGTCAGAAGTATATATCACACTACTCTATGTGAAGTATATCTCACACTACTCCATGTCAGAAGTATATCTCACACTACTCCATGTCAGAAGTATATCTCACACTACTCCATGTCAGAAGTATATATCACACTACTCCATGTCAGAAGTATATCTCACACTACTCCATGTAAACTAGCACCCACCTGGCAGCCTCCCTCTTCAACTTTTCATGTTTCATCAGCAGCCTCTTCCTCTCTATAAATGTCTTCCTCACTCGATAGCCTCGAAATGCCGACTAGAGAAGTCAGAGAACATCACAGATCAGTCATCCAGCCATATCTTTGTTGATCACATGCAATTCTAACATTGCATGTAGTCTCATGGTAGACCATGTCCAACATCACCTCTAAGATATAGCTAATGTCAAAATTTAGACAAAGGGTGAATTGTAACACTTAGGGGCTACTGAAGTCTTGGAACTCTTTCATGTTTCAATAAACTATTAAAAAGTATGACATATAGTTATATCGAACATCACCACCTGATGAACACCGATTCTGAGATCCATCTCGTTGAAATCGTATGCTTGGGTGATTTTGAAAATTGTAACTATAATTTGTGTAGTTCAAATACTAAAACTATGACACATTATGCACTTTCTCTTGTTCTTATGACCTTGGAGTGGTAACGACCTTAAACAACGTTTTCAGCTTCTTCTAACACCTTCGGGCACAGCCAAAACCAGAGCTAAACGCCAGACAACCCTGCAGTCTCAGCTAGCGAGTTCTTTGAAACCGTTCTGCAGACACCCAGCTTATGTAAGGAGGGATGGTTTGAACAGCACTCCATTAAACTGCTCATATCCCATCAAGTCACCCTCACTTATCTCTCCTAAACTTAGTCACTGACAGTCAAGGAATATGGGAGAGGAACGCTTCTAATCTTGCTCTCGAGCAGCAGGATTCGGAAGTCATACTCCACTAATGTGATTGCTCGCATGAGTAGAGGTCACCGAGTGTCGTGTCTTCACCATAACTGACCATAGTCGATCACAGAACAACGTACACTGACGTGACCGCCTACATGTTTACTCCCATGGGGTTACATGCATGGGGTCCCCCAAGTGACGTCACTCCGGTTGGTAACTTCTGTCACAGTGGTAACAAGGCTTACGGAGTTGTCTCCCTTATACTGTTAAAAGTTAAGTCTTAAGTGTCAATACACTATACCGAGTATGTGGGGGATCTCCTCTGTGACTATGAGAAGGATTCATGTTGATACATGCAGTAGTGATTCTGAAAGAACGTTGTATGGGTCGTTCAGAATGGTCTAGTTCAGGGCAAACGTTCCAATTCTTCCACCTACCTAAGTACAGAAGATCATGTTGACTGAAAGTGAAAGTTGTATCCAAGTCCCAAATACTTGAGACAAAATCTCTCTAATATAGGATGTCTACACCTTTAGTAACAAAAAGAGGATCAATACAGTTGGGAGTCACATGAAGCAAGACACATATTTTGCACGGTGATTTCCTTCAACAATAGATGGAGCACTGGTGTGTTCAGGCGAGGTGTTAAAAGAGGCTAAAAATTTGGTTTCACTTTGTTTCCACTCCAAGGTTAGTAAGAACAAGAGAAAGCGCTCAACATGAGATAAGTTTAAGAATTTATAGCCTCGAACCTGCAACATATGCACAGCAGACTGTGATGTCGCAGGTTCTGTATGCCACACACCTGTATTTTCTGTGCTGCTATGTCCTGTATGCCTGTGATGGAGAGGGCCCCCTGCTCGATCATGTACTGGGCAACATCATGGTGCTCACCCATCAATGCATAGTCCAGTGGTGTGTACCTGCCAATACATAAGTCACTGGACCACTGACTTGGCTGGAACTGACTTAAATACCGTGGCATGTTAAAATGTACATGAACTGAAATAGAATACATTATCTATCTATTTACGATCCGATTTTCTTGTAACATTATGTGTTGTATTGTATTGTTCAAGCTGAGGCCTGGATCCCAGACTTACCTGTCTTCAGTGAACTCCATGTGGTTGACATAGGCCATGTGCTCCACCAGCAGCTTGACGGTGTCCAGGTGGCCCATGCTGCAGGCCCAGTGCAGCGATGTCATTCCCTGCAGCCACGCAACACAGTATTACAATAAGTAGACAGCCTGGAAGGGGGCTGAAGCCACACAACACAGTATTACAATAAGTAGACAGTCTGGAAGGGAGCTGCAGCCACACAACACAGTATTACAATAAGTAGACAGTCTGGAAGGGAGCTGCAGCCACACAACACAGTATTACAATAAGTAGACAGCCTGGAAGGGAGCTGCAGCCACACAACACAGTATTACAATAAGTAGACAGCCTGGAAGGAGCTGCAGCCACACAACACAGTATTACAATAAGTAGACAGCCTGGAAGGAGCTGCAGCCACACAACACAACACAGTATTACAATAAGTAGACAGCCTGGAAGGGGAAGTAGACAGCTGCAGCCACACAACACAGTATTACAATAAGTAGACAGCCTGGAAGGGAGCTGCAGCCACACACACAACACAGTATTACAATAAGTAGACAGCCTGGAAGGGAGCTGCAGCCACACAACACAGTATTACAATAAGTAGACAGCCTGGAAGGGAGCTGCAGCCACACAACACTGTATTACAATAAGTAGACAGCCTGGAAGGAGCTGCAGCCACACAACACAGTATTACAATGACAGCCTGGAAAGCTGCAGACAGTCTACAATAAGTAGCAGCAGCCACACAACACAGTATTACAATAAGTAGACAGCCTGGAAGGAGCTGCAGCCACACAACACAGTATTACAATAAGTAGACAGCCTGGAAGGAGCTGCAGCCACACAACACAACACAGTATTACAATAAGTAGACAGTCTGGAAGGAGCTGCACACAACACAACACAGTATTACAATAAGTAGACAGCCTGGAAGGGAGCTGCAGCCACACAACACAGTATTACAATAAGTAGACAGTCTGGAAGGGAGCTGCAGCCACACAACACAGTATTACAATAAGTAGACAGCCTGGAAGGGAGCTGCAGCCACACAACACAACACAGTATTACAATAAGTAGACAGCCTGGAAGGGAGCTGCAGGGCTGCAGTATTACCACACACACACAGTATTACAATAAGTAGACAGCCTGGAAGGGAGCTGCAGCCACACAACACAGTATTACAATAAGTAGACAGCCTGGAAGGGAGCTGCAGCCACACAACACAACACAGTATTACAATAAGTAGACAGCCTGGAAGGGAGCTGCAGCCACACAACACAGTATTACAATAAGTAGACAGCCTGGAAGGGAGCTGCAGCCACACAACACAGTATTACAATAAGTAGACAGCCTGGAAGGGAGCTGCAGCCACACAACACAGTATTACAATAAGTAGACAGCCTGGAAGGGGGCTGCAGCCACACAACACAACACTGTATTACAATAAGTAGACAGCCCACCCCAACTTTGTCACTAACCTCATTATCCTGTGTGCTGGGATCTGCCTTGTGCTCCATCAACACAGACATACAGTTGACAAAACCTCCATACGCTGCACACTGGATAGGGGTACGTCTGGAACACACAGAAAACAAAATGTCAATGACCACAACTCACCCAGTTGTGTTACCTGTCATGTCCGTCTACTCATCCGGTCATGTCACCTGTCATGTCTGTCTACTCACACAGTCATGTCATTTGTCATGTCCGTCTACTCACACAGTCATGTCACCTGTCATGTCTGTCTACTCACACAGTCATGTCATCTGTCATGTCCGTCTACTCACCCGGTCATGTCACCTGTCATGTCCATCAACTCACCCAGTCATGTCTGTCTACTCACCAGGTCATGTCACCTGTCATGTCTGTCTACTCACACAGTCATGTCATCTGTTATGTCCGTCTACTCACACAGTCATGTCACCTGTCATGTCTGTCTACTCACACAGTCATGTGATCTGTCATGTCCGTCTACTCACCTGGTCATGTCACCTGACATGTCCGTCTACTCACCTGGTAATGTCACCTGACATGTCCGTCTACTCACCTGGTCATGTCACCTAACATGTCCGTCTACTCACCTGGTCATGTCACCTGTCATGTCCATCAACTCACCCAGTCATGTCCGTCTAATCACCTGGTCATGTCACCTGACATGTTCGTCTACTCACCTGGTAATGTCACCTGACATGTCCATCTACTCACCTGGTCATGTCACCTAACATGTCCGTCGACTCACCCGGTCATGTCACCTGTCATGTCCATCAACTCACCCAGTCATGTCCGTCTACTCACCTGGTCATGTCACCTGACGTCTATGTCTGTCTACTCACCTGGTCCGTCACCTCACATGTCCGTCTACTCACCGGTCATGTCACCTGTCATGTCCTTCTACTCACCTGGTCATGTCACCTGACATGTCCGTCTACTCACCTGGTCATGTCACCTAACATGTCCGTCTACTCACCTGGTCATGTCACCTGTCATGTCCATCAACTCACCCAGTCATGTCCGTCTACTCACCTGGTCATGTCACCTGACATGTCCGTCTACTCACCGGTCATGTCACCTGTCATGTCCTTCTACTCACCTGGTCATGTCACCTGACATGTCTGTCTACTCACCTGGTCATGTCACCTGACATGTCCGTCTACTCACCTGGTCATGTCACCTGACATGTCCGTCTACTCACCTGGTCATGTCACCTAACATGTCCGTCTACTCGACCTGGTCATGTCACCTGACATGTCCGTCTACTCACCTGGTCATGTCACCTAACATGTCCGTCTACTCACCTGGTCATGTCACCTGTCATGTCCATCAACTCACCCAGTCATGTCCGTCTACTCACCTTGTAATGTCACCTGACATGTCCGTCTACTCACCTGGTCATGTCACCTAACATGTCCGTCTACTCACCTGGTCATGTCACCTGTCATGTCCATCAACTCACCCAGTCATGTCCGTCTAATCACCTGGTCATGTCACCTGACATGTTCGTCTACTCACCTGGTAATGTCACCTGACATGTCCATCTACTCACCTGGTCATGTCACCTAACATGTCCGTCGACTCACCTGGTCATGTCACCTGTCATGTCCATCAACTCACCCAGTCATGTCTGTCTACTCACCTGGTCATGTCACCTAACATGTCCGTCTACTCACCTGGTCATGTCACCTGTCATGTCCATCAACTCACCCAGTCATGTCTGTCTACTCACCAGGTCGTGTCACCTGTCATGTCCGTCTACTCACCCGGTGGTGTCCCTGATGTTGGGGTCCACTCCAAACTTGATGAGAGTCTGGCAGATGTAGGCATGACCCCCAAGTGCCGCCCTGCAACAGAGGGACAGCTACACTGATCTCATTTTAACACTTTGGAACACTTAAACATAAACACATGAGTTTTAAAATGGATAAGGAATTCCAAATGCTTGAACAGCTATCCAGCAAAAGGGTACAGTTTTGCAGGACACAATGCCTGTGATTTTTCATTTGTTTCCTGCCTATCAATGTCATGATCTTTCTTGGATAACATTTTTCCAATCTCAGAATTACATATACAAATACTTTCAATGGAAAGTAACCATGCCTTGACACCCTGAAGTCCACCCACCAGTGCAGAGGGGACCTGCCATCCTGATCAACCACATCCACCTTGGCCCCAGCATCGATGAGAGTCTGCACCACGTCCGTCTGACCAGACTCACAGGCCCTGAACAGAGGTGTGTGTTTCATGAGGTCCACAGCGTCAATATCGGCCCTGTACTCCAGAAGGATCCGCACTGTGCTGGTGTGGCCGGAATATGCTGCTGCATGGAGGGCTGAAGGAAAGTAAACATGGGTTGTGTATCTCCTATCTGTATACAGGGGCCCTGGGTTGCATGTGAAGACACCAACATAGATTGTGTAGTCACCATCTGTATACAGGGGCCCTGGGTTGCATGTGAAGACACCAACATAGATTGTGTAGTCACCATCTGTATACAGGGGCCCTGGGTTGCATGTGAAGACACCAACATAGATTGTGAAGACACAAACATATTGTGTAGTCACCATCTGTATACAGGGGCCCTGGGTTGCATGTGAAGACACCAACATAGATTGTGTAGTCTGCAGGGGCCCTGGGTTGCATGTGAAGACACCAACATAGATTGTGTAGTCACCATCTGTATACAAGGGCCCTGGGTTGCATGTGAAGACACCAACATAGATTGTGTAGTCACCATCTGTATACAGGGGCCCTGGGTTGCATGTGAAGACACAAACATAGATTGTGTAGTCACCATCTGTATACAAGGGCCCTGGGTTGCATGTGAAGACACCAACATAGATTGTGTAGTCACCATCTGTATACAGGGGCCCTGGGTTGCATGTGAAGCATAGATTGTGTAGTCACCATCTGTATACAAGGGCCCTGGGTTGCATGTGAAGACACAAACATAGATTGTGTAGTCACCATCTGTATACAAGGGACCTGGGTTGCATGTGAAGACACAAACATAGATTGTGTAGTCACCATCTGTATACAAGGGACCTGGGTTGCATGTGAAGACACAAACATAGATTGTGTAGTCACCATCTGTATAAAGGGGCCCTGGGTTGCATGAGAAGACACAAACATAGATTGTGTAGTCACCATCTGTATACAGGGGCCCTGGGTTGCATGAGAAGACACAAACATAGATTGTTTAGTCACCATCTGTATACAGGAGCCCTGGGTTGCATGTGAAGACACGAACATAGATTGTGTATTGACAATGTTTTGACAAATGCCAAGGTTTGAGATACCTACAAATAATAGCCAGACCTTGGCAAGGGGAAACACAACCATTCTCTCCTGCTGAGGATTCTGTTATCCCCATGTGCCAACCCAAGCTAGGGGAACACTCACTCCTGCCCAACTTTTCTTAATGGTGCCTTCAGCAGAACCAACCTGTTTCTTCGTGCTTGTCCATTTGTCTAATGTCAACACAGTGTTTTATAAATATACGGATGACATCATCTGCCCCTTTGCCTGCTGCCCACATGAACGCTGTCCGGCCATCAACATCACTCTCATCAGTCACCAACTTGTGGGACAGGAAGACTTCCACCGTATCCTAGGTCAACAGAATCAATACTATTAATGTTATGTTTATTCTCCCATCATTATGACAAGAATACCTGGAATATCACATCAGAAAGGTCACAGAAGTATAATGAAGTCTAGGCAAAAGAAATAAGGTAAACCAATGTTAAATATTGTGGCAATATGTTCATCAAGTTACACAACAATACTTGAAAAATGGCTATTTAAATTACAAGCTGATGACAACGACCTCAGCAACACAGTATATAAAAGTTAAAAATTAAAGTGTGGAAACACCCCAAAATACATTTTTGATTTCTGTGAGTACTTTGATTCAATACCATAGCTTTGATCATCCCTGCAAAGTTCAGATACATATAGGTAGCTTAATTTTTATCACCCCACCCCAGAACCTTGGAAGATATATCAAAAGAATTTGACATCTTCTGTGACTCTTGTATAGGACATGTCAAAAACTTAAGCAGACTTACGTCATAGTTATTCTGAGCTGCATAGTGAAGAGGTGTGGCACCATTAGAATCTGAGCTGGCAAAATCAGCACCACTGTCAAGGAGGAACCCCACAATCTTTGAATGTCCTGAAGTATGAAGTATAATGTTCATACATGCATGGTTTCACAGAAATTACTCGAAGTCATAGGAGTGTCCAATAAATCTTTACTCTGTGATCTGACAATTCTTTTAATATTCACTACTGACAAGGTATCCAGTTTTCATTGCTTGCACATTTCTTTAGAGTCCTGGTATGAAACATCTGATAGCTAGGAAAGTATGAAAGTCCAGCCTTTGTCACTTGTCTAACAAATCAGCTAAATCACGGACTTATCCTCAATAGTTCACTCTTCTGACAAGGATGGGGTACTGGAGACCTACTGTTCCCTAGAATCAGTCTGTAGATAAATCTGGATTAATTGGAAGACATTAGTGTGGGTCTTTCATCTCTTACCCAGCACAGCTGCCCAATGCAGGGGGGTTCTGAACCAGTTGTCCAGAGCGGACACATTACACTTGCGTATACTTGTCTGCACCAACACATTGACTATACTCTCGTTGCCGTCAGCAACTGCCAGATGAAGAGCTGTCCTTCCTTCGTAGTCCTGCCAGTTGATCACACTTGGGGTTGTTTCCTGCAGGTACAACACATGTGAACTGAACAAGATGATAATTTCAAAACAACATTTCCATAGAACTGTCTGCAGGGATATATCAGTCGTCAATAAGAATTCCCCTCCAGGAGAATGAGTAATTCTACTACTTGCCACATAATCATTCACCTATTGTCTGCAGCAGCTGGATTTTCAAGCATGTGCACTCACCAAGATCAGTTTGACACAGCTCACAGCCTGACGATCTCGGCTACTAGCGGCCCAGTGGAGTGGGGTTTTGCCATCTGTGTCTGGGATGCCAATGTTTGAATCCTACAAGAGAATTTCCATGCATATCAAATAATAGAAAATGACTATGCAATTGGGTAGAAACTTTAATGACACTGAAATATATTACCTAAAACACAAAAAGTAAGGTTAACTCTCATCAGTAAGTTCTGACTCTAAGGGAGATAACTCTATTAACATGGTAGCACACTCACCAGGACTTGAATCAGATTATTTCTAGAAGAGAAAACAATTCTTCTTAGGAAATGAACACTAGTGATAGTGTATCTGGCACTTGGTGTTCCAGAAACCATGTGATCCTCTGATGAGCTGCATCCTTTCTTAGATTACAGTACTCAACATTCCGTCTTCATGAACTGGTATGAAGGTATTATTTTCTGGTATAATTTACAAATACAGTAACAACCCACCGGATTCATCATCATGTAGGACGACGAAGTGTTAGCAGTTTACAACTGTCATGATTTTCCAGATGCATCATTTAGTCTACTAAAGGGACATAACCCTGTTCTTATAAACTTTTATTGACATAAAAATGTAGTTAACATTGCAAAGGGAGCATGTGGGTCATTTTAAATAAAGACTTAACTCAAAATAAGAGATAATTAAACAGGCAATTACCAGATGTAACGGCTCACAACATGAGCAAAACAAAAACCTACCCACTTGATGAGCATCTTGACATGTTCCAGGTTACCATAGGAGGCTGCCCAGTGCAAGGCTGTTCTCTGGAACACATAGTGCTACATAAATAATGGATGACATGTGTGGCACTGAACAGTAATACAATACATATTCGGTTGAATATTCTTTTACAACAAAATATTCCTGTATTAGTTCCCTAATTCCTCGGACCCATGAAGATCCAGGTTAGAATTGATCTTCAGTAATCCATCCTTGTCATAAAAGGCGACTAACATGATCGGGTTGTCAGGCTCACTGATTTGGCTGACACATGTCATCGTATCTCATTTGTGTAGATGGATGCTGATGCTGTTGATAACTGGACCGTCTGGTCCAGACTCGATTATTTACAGACCGCCGCCATATAGCTGGAATATTGCTGAGTGCGGTGTAAAACTAAACTCACTCACTCACCCCCTAATTCCTAGAATGTGCCACAAGGTCAGGACTTTTCATGGTGACCAATATTGAAGCTACAGCAGCTCCCTCTAGTGTTACCTTGTTGTTGTCCTGGTCGTCCATCTCCCCCGGAGTCAGCTGCCGCAGCAACAATGCCATACACTTGGGCAGCTTGTGTCGGGTACAGAGATGCAGGGCTGTCTGACCTTCATTGTCCTTTTCTCGACAGTCTGCACCCTTTGACACCAGCATCTTCATCAGCCGATAGTTGCCCTGCAAACACAGACTCAACAGCATGGACGTCTGTCAAACATCTTAGTTCACAGAAAATAGATCAAACAAATTATGGTGCATATTTGTTTAATTCAAACTAGCATGTAGCAAACTTTCCTGAAGGTGTCTCCATATTTAGTGATCACTACTTCAGGTATGTTTTCAAGCACACGTAACTTGGAATGCTAATTTTTTAGTGTATGGCTAAGCCTGGTAGTGGTACGTGTTTTGTTTGGGTGGCATTCTAGTGGTACCGGTCATCCAATTCATTGGCAGCACATAAATATCATCATTGCTCAAAGTTACCTCACAGTTGCCATTTTTCACCTAATTGTTACATGACATGACATGACATGACATGACATTTGGCTGGGTATGCAACCAGCTGTTACAAACCCAGATTTCACAAGATGTGAAATGGCATGGGTTGTTTACTGTGTTTATACACAATGTAGTGCCCTAAACCTGTACCCCAGAACTGACTTGCATATTATACGTGTGGCCGAGATGACGGATCATATATCACGGACCATTTTACCAGATATGCCATGGCAATACCCACAAGGAATCAAACAGCTAAGACCACTGCTGAAGCATTTCATAACAACTTTGTTCAGCATTATGGTATGCCACAACAACTTCACACAGATCAAGTTGCAAACTTTGAAGGCAAGCTAGTGAAGGAACTCTGTGATATTTTAAAGATCAAGAAGTCCAGGACCACTCCTTATCATCCGATGGGCAACGGCTTGTGCGAGAGATTCAACAGGACACTGTGTGATATGCTTGGGACTCTCCGCCTGACCAGAAGAAAGACTGGAAGAATCATGTTGGACCACTAGTTCATGCATATAATTGTATACGTCATGAATCCACTGGCCAGACTCCCTTCTTTCTGATGTTCGGACGTGAACCAAGACTTCCCATCGACCTGGCATTTGGGCTTGAGCATAGCCGGGAGAAGAGGTCCTTGTTTCAGTACACAAAGTCTCTGAAGGAATGTCTCCGCCAAGCATATCACGAGCTGCTGAAGCATCCAAGACTTCTAAAGGACATCAAAAGGCCAACTACGACATAACAGTAAGAGGAGCTACTTTGGATGTAGGAGACAGAGTCTTAGTCAAGATCTTAGCCTTTGATGCAAGGAAGGAGGGAGGAAGATGTATATGTTGTTCTCAGGCAACCAAATCCTACCATTCCAGTTTTTGTGGTCCAAAAGGAGAACTCTGAAGGAAGAAAAAGAACCTTACACCGGAACCATCTTTTACCCATTGTCCCCATCTCAAGACCAGAAGTTCCATTCAGACCAGTTCCTGCACCACGACAATTTTAAAAGAAACAAAGGGAATTGCAGCAAACAGATGACAACTTAAGTGGGATGACAGAAGATTCCGAGGAGAGGGAATTGTGTATAGTGACTGCTCAGACATATCAGAAGACAGCAGAGGATCATGACTCAACAGCCATGAACAGTGAAGCTGCTGACAGGATTGAGGATTCTGCCCAATTAGTAACTGGTGACGATCAAGGAATTATTGTGGCAGTGGGATATTCTTCTGGTGGTGACGACCACTCATCAGAATTGTTACAAGAGCAGACTGACACAGAAGAAAATCCAGATGCAGAATTCAGTCACGAGCAGAACCAATCTGAGACCTCAACGGCACTCAGAATAGAGGACGATCAGGAGCTGTTAGAAGCAACAGACGAAGCTACAGAGCCACATGCAGAAACTACTCTACACCGCCCTACCCCAGCAACTGCAGCCAGACGTTCCAGTAGGGCAACTAGGAAGCCACCTTGGATGACATCAGGGGAGTACTTGATGAGTCATCAGATCCCAGACCAGGATAGGGAGAGGAGATCTCAGACCATCCAGGAACTTGCTTCCAGTGGAGTGTTGGAACATTTATCTCGTGCTTTTATTTCGATTGTGGATGGTAGAATTAAATGACAAGACGTCATTGTTTGGGAGGGGGAAGTATGTGTCCGAAATGATTTTATATTTGTCTTGTAAATATTTTAGAAATATATTTAATCTATCTAGTTTTTGTCTCATTAAGTGCCTGTACAAGCTATAACACTTACACAGAATACAGAAAGTAACACTAGATTTACCCCAGCACTTATATAACTCTTAACTTCACCATAGCCACTGTCACACTTTCCCATATCCTTATTATGTAAGTCTCCTTGCCTGGCCTACAGTTCAATTTTATATCATCAAGCAGTTGTCAGTTACTACTCTTACAAGTCAGAGGTCCTATACATGTAATGCTCAGCAAATAGTTTGGCTTTTTGTGGACCGAGTGGCTGAGGACATCACTTCTATCTATGTATATATAAGGTCAGTTTGTGTTTGCTCTCATATTTATGTATTTATAGATATGTCTGGGTTAAGTTGTATATGAATTAAATGCATTAAGTTAATGCATTGATAAGATATATTTCTCTGTTGAACCAACAAATTAACTTGCCATTTAGTGTGTGTTATTGACTAGTAGTTCATAATTGAAAATTAGTATATAAGTATATTTAAATGTTCAGATATTCTACCAGCTTTGAAGGTAATATAATTTCTCTTTTAATCCATGAACTTATGTCCTGTATTTTCATTGCCATTTTTCCTGCTTGCTCATCACTGTGTAACATTTGTAGAATATCCCGATTGGACACTGACGACTTAATAATCTGCCAGGTCATTGCCACACAGTGGTAAGTTAGCTGTCAATATTGTATATATTGACTATATGTCTTGACAATTTGTGGAGACAGTAATGTGTCGGCCTCCTAAGTATACATTGTAATCTGCACGAGTTAATCTTTTCAGTTTAACTGTAGCTACTGTTCCCTCTCTATATCATTCATGTATAATTCAAAGATGTTATGTGATATGGCTCGTGTAATTAATTTATCAGTTATTTTAATAGTATTTTTATATAATATTTACAGAGCTGGAAACTGATTAGTAAACTTTGTTTACACAAAAAAAGAGATTGCTGTCGGCTCACAACCAAGTAACTGTTCTGCGTCATTATTCCAACTGGAACCTCATCTGCTACTACATACGCAAGTATTTCTTTTCCACAAAACCACATGGGCCTACCTTATGTGCTGCCCAGTGCAGAGCTGTCCTACCCCCCTTGTCGCGGAGGTTGATCTGAGCCCCGGCCTTCAGCAGTGTCTCTGCACACTCCAGTCGGTCTGCCAGGACACAAAACATAAGGGGACTCCGCGGCCGAACTGATCCCCTGCATCTAGCTCCTGAGGGCAGGCTGTACAGAAAACCATGGACACACTTACCTCAGATATCAATAATACATATCACCAGGATGAATTTGTGCCATCTGTTGCCATGAACATGTTTGTGTTAACTTGCTTGGCTGCATAAACTAATAACAACAAACCTAAATTAATCAATGTAGCATATTTTCGATATGTGAATGGTAACTATAAAAGTTAACAATAATTTTAAAATGCAGTAAAAATGACTAAACAGCACACAATTAAAACATGTACAGACAAGGTACTATTATATCACATCACATCAAGTCAGGTGTAAATTTGGAATACATCAATGCATCAGTTAATAGTTAGAACCCTAATTCACAGACTTAGTTAATCAAACCTCTTGTGCTTGTAATAATCAATACACTACTTGCTGGGCTTCATTCGTCAAGAGTAGACATTAAATCTGAATCCGATGTCATCGATAATGATATCTCTGATATTTTAGGGGATGAGGATATGTCGTCGTTGGAGGATAGTGTGAACATTGATAGGTCATGGTGTGATAATATTATCAACAGTGCTGGTCGTGTTCTGGTGAATATGTGTGCTGCTCTTAACATGTCCATCCTAAACGGCCGTTGTGGTGCAGATGCCAGTATCGGCGACTTTACGTTCATTAATCAGAGTGGACCTAGTGTAATCGATTATATTATTGTATCTAATAGCCTATTTCCATATTGTAAACATTTTGAAGTTGTTTCACGAGCCGAGTCATGCCATCTACCGTTAACGTGCTCATTTCAATCACGTGATCCTGCCACCGACGACAGAGCTGAAGGAGCACGTGCAATACATGTGACGGACCGCTATGTATGGGACATAGAGTATATCCAACAGTTCAGGGAGAACTTGTTGTTACCTGCTGTTGTTGACATATTTGAGAAATGTACACTACTCGTTGAAGACATTGATGAGGTTGTCACTCAGTTTACAGAAGCGGTATGTGAAGCATCCGGTAGTATGAACCGCCATAACAAAACTAGACTCATACACTCCGAACCATGGTTTGATGCGGAATGTAGATTCCATAGATCAGAAAGGGAACGACTTCTTAAAGTATTTCGTCGTCACAAAAATGATGTTCATCTAAATAATTATATTAAAGCCCGGAATGCCTACACATCTCTACTTAGAAAAGAAAAAAAAACATATTATGGACTTGTGAGCAATAAAATTTCAACATGTCTCCATGACAGTAAGTCATTTTGGTCTACATAAAAAAGGGCTGTCCCATACTTATACTCGTGTTCCTAATATAACCATAACAAGAATGGGCTGATTATTTCAAAAACCTGTTTACATCAGAGGATGTCACTGCCGAAGACGTCAATGTTAACGATGAAACTGACTCTGAAAAATGTGATGATATGACAGGCTCCATTTTAGACTCTCCTATAACACAAGAGGAAATTTTAACCTCCATTGAAGGACTGAAGTGTGGCAAATCCTCAGGTGCTGGTTTATTAATTCCTGAATTTTTCAAATATACAACAGACATTCTGGTACCATATCTTACAGTGCTTTTCAATGTCATGTTTGAACATGCTTACTTTCCAGAATCATGGTCGGAGGCTGTCATTGTTCCTTTATATAAGAAAGGTGATATACACTCTCCATCTAACTATAGAGGTATTTCTCTTCTTAGTGTATTTAGCAAGCTTTATGTGTCTATACTAAACAGGAGGTTAATGTATTGGTGTGAAGCATATGGTAAAATTGCAGAGTCACAGGCTGGTTTCCGTCATGATTACTCCACCATTGATAATATCTTTACCCTCCAGTCTATTATCCAGAGGTACCTTAGTAAGCAAAAGGTTAAACTTTATTGTGTGTTCGTGGATTTTGCTAAGGCATTCGACAGTGTAAGTCGTTTGAAATTATGGTCAGTTTTGAAATCTAGAGGTGTTTCCCCCAAAATAGTTAACTCTATACAGTCCATCTATTCATCCGTTAAGGCTAGGGTAAAATTTAATAATGTGTTGTCAGGATTTTTCCCTTGTTCACGTGGTGTTCGTCAGGGCTGTGTCCTTAGCCCTCTGTTGTTTTCGATTTTTATCAACGAGTTGGCTGTTGAGGTAGAACGAAGTTCAGGTCCAGGTATTCAATTACATCCTGATGTTAGTCAAATATTTATTCTTCTTTTTGCGGATGAAATCGCACTTATATCTGATACTATTGGAGGGCTACAGAAGCGCATCGATGTTTTAGAAAAGTTTTGTATAGAATACGGTCTTGAGGTCAATTTGGATAAGACAAAAGTTGTCGTTTTTCAGAAAGGTGGTATTTTATCAAAAAGAAAAAGTTGGTTTTATAATGGAAGGAAGTTGGAAGCGGTAACTTCATATAAGTATCTAGGTATAACATTCACAAGGGGCTTGTCTTGGTCGTTCTAATGCAGCTTTGCAAGGTAAAAAGGCCTTATTTGGTGTTCTTAAAAATATAAGTTAGCTTGGTAATATATCTCATGAATTATACTTTAAGATATTTGATATGAAAATAGCTCCTATTCTGCTGTATGGTGCCGAGGTCTGGGGATTCTGTCAGAATGATTATGTTGAATCTGTGCACACATTGGCTTGCAAACGGTTTTTTAGGCGTTAAGATCTCTACAACTAATAATATAGCTCGTGGTGAATGTGGGCGGTATCCCCTATATATCCTAGCATATAACAGGGTAATAAAGTATTGGTTAAAATTATTGAGTATGTCTGATTCTTGTCATCCCCAAAAATGTTATCATAATAAAGTTAATTAGGCGTCGAAGTGTCGAGATCTGCTGTACAGTTTGGGTTTTGGTTTTGTTTGGGAACAGCAATCTGTTATTTCTCCTACCTCGTTTTTATCTGAATTTGTGAGTCGACTTAAATGTATTCATGAACAGAATTGGTATAGTTCACTTCAAAATGGCAGCAAATCTATGTTTTATTCTTACTTCAAAATATCATTGTCCAGGGAATTGTATTTAAATGTGATTAACATTAAAAAAGTTTAGAGTAGCACTCGCTCAGTTTAGATGTTTTTCACATCAGTTACGTATAGAAACTGGAAGGTATTATAATATAGATAGAAATGATAGATTATGTTTACAGTGCCATGAAGGTTATATTGAGGATGAATACCATCTTCTCCTCGTGTGTTCCAAATTCCAACAGCTCCGCTTGAACCATTTACCTAAAACCTATTGTATCAACCCAAGTAAAGCCAAATTCAAACTCCTCATGTCATCATCCGATTGTAAACTTATAAATAACTTAGCTAGCTTTATCTATCATGCAATGTATCTAAGATGTTAAAAATTATCAATCTATACTGCACACACCATGTTTTGCCATGTAAATGTAACCTATGTAGTTATGGGCCGATGGTCTACACTTCTGTAATAAAGAATTGAAAATAATTGCTCAATAAATCTGAAATTTGTTTTGAAATAATGTTTCTCAATACCAACCAGGATCTATTAGCCAAGAAAAGAAAATATCTGCCGATAAATGACTGAAGACCCCATACCTGCAACAAGCCTTGTGAGGGTGGGCTTGTCGCCATTGACAGCAGCTGCATGTAGCTGGGTGATGCTCTCCAGTCGGCCATTACCATTTGCAAAAGGGCTCTTCGGGGTCTCCACCTGGCAGATACAGCAGAATTTCACAGGGAGTTCAATACACTACTTCACAGAGAGCATTGATCAGTAGTGCAACCAAACCTCTCCATCTGTGTTGCAACTGCATGAAAAATATCTAGGCTAACTGATAACTGAATTTGGCTTTAGAAGCAAACCAGTGGTTGACAACATGAGCACCAAACTACTTCATTATGATATGGCAAGTATAGTGTACAGAGGAATTGATCTGAATCTTGTACATTTACCTGTGATACTGCAGGACTGGAGGGGCCGGCCACGGCTGTCATCTCCCCTACAGACACCTGAAACATAACACTACCACCTCAGTCATCAAGTCTTGGATTACACTGAAACATAACGCTACCACCTCACTCATAAAGTCTTGGATTACACTGAAACATAACGTTACCACCTCAGACATCAAATCTTGGATTACACTGAAACTAGTGTAACCACCACAGTCATAAAGTCTTGGATTACACTGAAACATAACGCTACCACCTCAGTCATAAAGTCTTGGATTACACTGAAACATAATGCTACCACCACAGTCATTAAGTCTTGGATTACACTGAAACATAATGTAACCACCACAGTCATAAAGTCTTGGATTACACAGAAACATAATGCTACCACCTCAGTCATCAAGTCTTGGATTACACTGAAACATAATGCTACCACCTCAGTCATCAAGTCTTGGATTACACTGAAACATAATGTAACCACCACAGTCATATAGTCTTGGATTACACTGAAACATAACGTTACCACCTCAGACATCAAATCTTGGATTACACTGAAACATAATACTACCACCTCAGTCATCAAGTCTTGGATTACACTGAAACATAACGCTACCACCTCACTCATAAAGTCTTGGATTACACTGAAACATAACGCTACCACCTCAGTCATCAAGTCTTGGATTACACTGAAACATAATGCTACCACCTCAGTCATCAAAGTCTTGGATTACACTGAAACATAACATTACCACCTCAGTCATCAAGTCTTGGATTACACTGAAACATAATGCTACCACCTCAGTCATCAAATCTTGGATTACACTGAAACATAATGCTACCACCTCAGTCATAAAGTCTTGGATTTCACTGAAACATAACGCTACCACCTCAGTCATCAAATCTTGGATTACACTGAAACATTGGATTCAGTCACAGTCTTGAAACATGAAACATGGTACCACCTCAGTCATCAAGTCTTGGATTACACTGAAACATAATGCTACCACCTCAGTCATCAAGTCTTGGATTACACTGAAACATAATGCTACCACCTCAGTCATCAAGTCTTGGATTACACTGAAACATAATGCTACCACCTCAGTCATCAAGTCTTGGATTACACTCATCAAGTCTTGGATTACACTGAAACAGCTACCACCTCAGTCATCAAGTCTTGGATTACACACTGCTAAACATCAAGTCTTGGATTACACTGAAACATAATGTTACCACCACAGTCATAAAGTCTTGGATTACACACCTCACCTCATCAAGTCTTGGATTACACTGAAACATAAACATAATGTCTTGGATTACCACCTCAGTCATCAAGTCTTGGATTACCACTTCACACTGAAACTTGGATACACTGAAACATAACACTACCACCTCAGTCATCAAGTCTTGGATTACACTGAAACATAACGCTACCACCTCACTCATCAAGTCTTGGATTACACTGAAACATAACGTTACCACCTCAGACATCAAATCTTGGATTACACTGAAACATAATGTAACCACCACAGTCATAAAGTCTTGGATTACACAGAAACATAATGCTACCACCTCAGTCATCAAGTCTTGGATTACACTGAAACATAACGCTACCACCTCAGTCATCAAGTCTTGGATTACACTGAAACATAACGCTACCACCTCACTCATCAAATCTTGGATTACACTGAAACATAACGTTACCACCTCAGCCATCAAATCTTGGATTACACTGAAACATAATGTTACCACCTCAGCCATCAAATCTTGGATTACACTGAAACATTCATCTGGATCAATCTTCTCACCTGATACAGCACAGATTTGATACACACGTCGGCATGAGTACAAAGATAGAAAAAAAGCATTGTACCTGTTTGAAAATATTTGAGAAACTGACAAAAAAGAATAACCTTGAAGTGTTCAGATTGTTAATGTAAACATAGATAGTGTTTCCTGTGTAAAAAGTGCAAGCTTTGTCAAATTATGAAACAAACCTCAGAAATATACATGTACTACAACTTTTCATCACTTGTGACAAGACGCTATATATAAATCATGTTAATAAAATACCTATTATACTGAATCTCAGTCAAAATACATCATTCCTTGATTATGGTAATTTTATTTTGATGTCCAATATTGTCCAATATCTTTAAGAACCTGGTCAGACCTAAGACGAACTGCTGACTTGGAATGAACAACAACTGGAGTGAATGAACACAGTTCCCACTATGGATATTGGTATATGCAGTCCATAACTCTAGCCACTGGTCTGAAGCAGGAGCTGCAATCATGTTCAGTCTGGTAATCTACAGTAACCAAATATATACTAACAAATACAATCTACATAAAACAACGTGAGGACACTGTGCAAGTAGATCTTTGCTTGGGCAGCTAATTGTTTGTGCTGTCTTGTGACAACGATTGTAAACATTTAAATCTGTAAAATGAGGATCTTACCTAGGAACAAAAGACAGGATTTGGAGGGTACATACTGGACAAGCAAATACAGAATGGTGGGTACCTACCCTACTAGTCTCCTCCCTGTAGGTGTGAAGGACCCTGGGGGTGACACAACACATACACAACACCTGGGATATGCCCCACCCCACAGGCCCATACAGGGAGTGGCCACTGTCTTCTGACAACATCCTTGCTTGAGCACATCCCTAAACCCCCACACAGTAGTACTCAATGTCCAGTTTGTTTCTCGAATTAATACACAATCTGCATGATAATTTTTGTGTCTGACTTCTGAACCTATGTGTTTTCATGAAATCAAAATGTACAATATGCAACTGTCAAGTTTCCTTTTGACAGAATTGAGTCTTCTTCACAAAGTTGTCCAAATATGACTGATTCCAAATATTCATTTCATAAAGAATATAGAACACAGTTTTGAATGTGTGAGTACTATAACACTGTCACTGAGGCAGGGAGAGCTGCGAGGTGGAGAAAACTCGGAGGGACACAGACAATGGGTAACCAAAATGGTGGAGTAAACTGTAAGAGTAGCAGCGTAACCTGATCTGTATCTGGCTGAAGCAAGATGGCAGTGGAGTCTGTGGCTGGGGCTGGGCATCTGGGAAGGGGAGGCTGTAGGGGAACTGTTAACAGCGGCTACATGTAGCCACTCACTGGGAGGTAGACTTAAACTTAGTCTCTGAAAGTTTATAATTTTCACAGAAATTGAAAACTATGTAAAACAATTTAAAGGAGGGTTTCTCCCAATGAGGTGGGAGATTCAGAACCTGAGGAAAATATAGACTTACTTAATTTAAAACTTCTGCATTACTGAATGAGCTGGGCAGAATGGAAATACATTTTGTGGAGGGAATGTGAGACAGGGTAACCGTGACTGGGAACAGTGGTAGGGTTTCTGTGAGAGAATAGGGGGAAGAGGAAAGAGGAAAAGAAAGAGAAAAGGGGGGGGTGTGTGTGTGTGTGTGTGTGTGTGTGTGTGTGTGTGTGTGTGTGTGTGTGTGTGTGTGTGTGTGTGTGTGTGTGTGTGTGTGTGTGTGTGTGTGTGTGTGTGTGAGAGGGAAGGGAAGGGCTAGTAATGGGGTTTGGCTTGATGAAGTCAACAGGTTAGACCTGCAGGATTAAAATAATTACATCTGAAAATGAACCCTTGAGTATCATGGAATCCTGAAAGATGGAATTACATCAAGGACAAGTTAAACTGTCAATAGCTAACGCTTATGGCACACAAAACAATTGACAGCATCAACAGAATTATACAATAGAAATGTTTGTTCCATATGAGTATCCAGTGATGATATGAACATCCGACATACTTCTCTCATCCATAACAACCTCTGCTCACAACTATCAGTATGAGGAAGTCTGGACTTTATAGGAATGAAAAGTTGCTTGTCTTACTATGTCAATACTATTGTAGCTGTAATACCTTTACTGCAACTTCACCTCAACTTGATTAATGCAGTTCTTAACTTTTACTTAGGGTTTGTTCATAATGTATGGCTAGGGGGGTTGATGATGATTTTTATGGAGAAGCATGTACAATGTAAATGACCCCCCCCTAAAATTTATGCACAAAGTAAGTGACCCCTTGCTTGTCATGTACAAAATCGATGACCCCCTCACCCCAGCCCCCTTTTCCCATATTTCACCCCCCTTGCCATAAATTATGAATGGTGAGGAATCATACGTAACAATACATATTTTCGAAAGGGTCATATGACCAATGTATATCTTTTGCAGGAAAGCTCACATCTCAAATTGACCTTTAGTAATACTTTGGGACGGGTCAAGTCACAGCATAACAAATATTTGCCTAAGTCCTGCACTATCCCTGACCCACATTCCCTGACAAAAATGTAATTATCTAATAAGTTACCCTTCAGTAATCTTAAAATGTACTTGACAGTTCATACTTTCCTTTGCAACAAATATATTGTGTAAGGAAAACACCAGAAGAGGAAAAGAAAGGTAGCTGCCATGAAACTATTATCAGTTTGATGTCAATTGCATCATTTGAACTAAGATATGAACTCTTTGATCTCTGGAAACAAATCTGAGTCATGAACCGATGCTTTGAAGGCTGATTTCTGATGGTTCATGGTAACAAATTACATTTATTTCTCAAGGTACTTTAAAGGCAAGGGTATGGAGTCATTTCAAGAAGGATATCAGGGCTCCAGATACTTTTTCAACATCAGGAGTACATACTCCTTATTTTTTTCAATATAAGAGTACTGGAAAACTTTAAGAGTACATTTAGAGTACGGAATAGAATTTAATGGAGTATCAGTAATCTTGTGTTTCGTTTCATATATGCACCACAACATTGCTACTCCTATGTAAACAGGTCAATGAACAATAAAAACTTCTTTTTCAGATAAATACAACTGTAAATGATTCGTACACCATTGCTGTGGTGCATATCTGCTACGTTTTCCAAAATATTTCCTACCGTATCATGCATACTTTTTATCCGTACATACACCGATACGACCCTTATCTGGAGCCCTGCATATAGTACGCATGTTCCTGTTTGATGGTGACTTAAGGAATACATGGATGAACATAATTAGTCAAATGTATATAAACAGAAAAAAAATGCTGACTGACAATTCTTTGGAATATTCTTGCTGCATATTTACGATATGCTTTTCAATAATCATACAAACCTAACCCAACTCTTGGGTTGAGGTTGACATGAAGTCTGATATAGGCTACAGTTTTATCAATATGCAGAGATAAGCATACAAACATAATTAAAATTTGGGACAGACTTAAGTGTAACTGGTGCTTCAGATTATTAAATGAACAAATACGCCTCTCTCATATTTCTTCAAATTCCAATGTAAAAAATGTAAAATGATTCCTAATACCTTTTGGATGATAATGTCATGGATGATTTGTAAACCTTACAATTATTGTGTTCATAAGAGGCAAACACAATGTAAAGTTGTAGCATTGCCCAACAATATAATTGTAAACATTTCAGAAAAAAACGTCGAACAGTAAGACATTTATGACAAAGTGAAATCGACTGTATCCATCCTCACTGTGTGTGCGTGTGCGTGTGCGAAAATATGTTTTACTATTCCGTTTTGCATTTTTTTAAAGTAGTTATTAACAATTGTATCTCCCAGCCTCTCTTGCAAATACCCCGTGTCTTACCACCTAACAACATCGGAAATGTGCCAGAGATGATCTTGACTAAATTAATGTACCACTGTACGACAGTAAAGCAGGTGCCCGCCAACTGACGTGTATGAAACCCTGCTACATATGGCACATGTGTATTGATAATGGCATTGGCTTTGAATATTCTACGTATGTCACAGCGATCGCTCCACACGGAGTATAAATGGCGCACGGGCACACTTACATTTGGTGCAACATTTCACCGTTACATTTGACAGTCATCTTTTAATCCGCCATGTCGTCAAGGACAATAACCACACGTTTGAAAGAGAAAGCTTGATTGGTGCATTGAAGCGAACAGATCATGTAACAATTCCCGTGATTGGAGCGAGCTTCGTCTGATTATGGCACAAAACGACAGTTGCTTCCCTTTGATAATGACTTTATTCAAGCTTTGACTGACTTGCCTGACACTATCCCTAAACTTCTCTCTGAACATTAGTTACGGTGCTCGAATCTAAATTGTATTCAGTAATAAAGTATTGAATTGAATACGAAAAAGAAAAGAAAAAAGGTTATTATCCGTATTAATTTGAAAAGTAATATGCTAGCAGACACTGGCGTCATGTGTCAACTTGTTGTGTCGCTGTTTGAGTGCATTCCGTAATGTGATACAGTCATAGAGGCAATACGATGAAAAGGTCTGTTTCGGTTTTCAGCCTTCACTCGATGTGATACACAACGTATCTGACAAAAAACATGAAAAAAATCATTATATATGCAGTTGGCAATAGAATAGGATAATGTCAAACCTCACCCAACACTTGTGTAATTAATTTTAACAGTGTCTTGAAATTAGAGGTAGTATAAAGGATTTACATTAGCTCTTAATTTAATTCAAACCCAAACGAAAACGAAAATCTGGCAATAAAGTCAGTTTAAAATGTAAATTATGTAACACTCAATAGCTTACTATATTTTGGCATAATTTGGAATTGGTCCAAATACGTTTACTCCTGACGTGTACTCCTGGAAGGCAGACGATATTTTGGCCTTGCTTGGCTGAAAGTAATTTTTATCTATAATCACACGTTTCTTTGAATTGCGCAGTGCGTGTGTAAAATCCCCCAAGGGAAGGAGGTAACATTTATTCCATATTGTTCAGTCAATCACATGTTCAATCAATCAATCGGTAAATCACCGAATATAATGTGCATTAATCTTTACTTACAACACACACCTTTACACATCGCTAGCTCATTATGAATTAGTTTTTATTACAAGTAAGAAAATATAAATAAAACGCTTCTTCTGGAATGTGTTGAGTCTTTGCTGCCATTTACATGTATTACTAATCTCATAAATGTATCACTGCAATCTGGTAAAGTGCCAAGGTCGTTTAGATATATGGCAAGCCAGTTTCATATTTATTAAGAAATACTGATATCTTCAATTGTTTTACAGATATCGTGAATGAAAATAGAGATATCTTGAATTGAATCGAAGATATCTCGAATTGAGATTAATTAAAGATATCTCCAATAAAATTCATGATATCGCGAAATCAATTCAGGATATGTTGATGCATATTCATACCTTGAAAAGAATTGCTGATATCTTGAATTGAATTAGAGATATCTTGAAATTATTTAAGGATGTCTCAAACAGAGATAATGTATTGAGAAATTGCTGATATCGTAAGGTTTTTAGGAGCTATCGTTAATTGAATTGGAGATATTTTTAAATGAATTAGATATATCTTGAATAGAGATATTCAAAATGATTTCAAGACATCTCCAAACACTTCTGGCTACATATCCGTAAACACTTCCGGTTCTGTAAAGTACTGTGAGCAGGGATAATGTACAACAACGTTATATAGTCTCCCTGCTGTGAGTAATGTTTATAATCATGGCGGGCGGTCCTGACGATTCTCAACAGGTTCTTGGTCGCATTCATTCCACAATGGGTGACATTGAGTGTTTGTTGACTGATAGTGTCAGTATTTCGTCAGCTAAAAAACTCCTCCAGACTGCTTTATCCACTTTACATCGTATACCGCCTTCGGTAATGCGAAGTACTTGTCCGTCAGACAGTCAGTCCAGCAGCTGCTCACTTTTAAATAGGCGAAAAATAAGAAGTTGAGAAGCCCTTTGAAATGCAACAAGTATGACCAACAACCAAAGAATTCGTGTTCATTGTTTAACTTCCACGAGAGTGGCCCATTATGCACTAGGGTATACTAGTAGCTAATGGGTGGTTCGTGAGTTTGTTTTCAGCTTTTTTTCCTAAATATATCTTTAATTTCTGTTAGAGAAATATATATATTCGCTTATATATTACGTTTCTGCATCCTAACATATTATAGCCATCAAAGTGTATGAATAGATTGGATATTAGTTTTCAGTTTAATGGGAAAAGTG